CTCCAAAAATCACAAAAAGTTATACATTTTATAAGCTTTATGTAAGATATAGCTTTCTGTCAACGATAAGAGATGGAGTTCCGATTTTTCTTCCTATTGAGATTATGGATTTGTAATATGGCAAGTTGGGGGTTGGGGGTTGGGGGTTGGAGTTGGGGGTTGGGGTTGGGGTTGTGAGTTATTGAATATTGAAATTGAGTTGTATAAAGTTTATTGTAAACATATATATTATGCTCGCAGTTAGTACGTTATTTTGTTTGCCATTCTTATTAGTTACGCCATGCACGACATAGTCACAACAAAGCGATCTAGGAAGGATTGTGTACGCCGAATAATTTTTTCTTCACCAACTCATTTTATTATCTCGCAGTAGACTTACAATTGACAGTAATTAAGTGAAACTATTGTCCTTGGGTTTATATGCGACCGATTTCGGAACACGGGATTTGAATATCAAAAATGGTAATTGTCACACCTATCAATCAATGAATTGTTATTCAACAGTACTATCATTAATATTACGTGGCGATTTGTAATTGAGATCAGGTGAATGTAATAAAATAAAATAGAATAATACTTTTCTGTAGCATTGGACCGAATATTAACACTTTCGGTGACTTTGTGACGACATGTTATACTGGTTTTGTGTTGCGTTCATCTCGGTGCGAATATGGTTTAGCGTGGTTGATGGGATCTGCTTAATACCTCATTACTATTACAGAGAAAGTACCAAAGTAGTTTAAACCACATCGATCGAGCAGTAATCGTCTTTTTTTATTCCTGCCATTGCGTGTGTCCTCTCTCGAAGTAGTAATTTGTTAAAAGGATATTCTACGGTTGTTGGTGATATTGTCCAGTCGACCACCTAAACGAAAGACAATCGAATCTATTTATGTCCTATATGACAGGGAGTAATAATCACTCGCCTCATTGGATTTACTAATAATAGTTAGAAAGTTGAATTTCAATTGTTAATTCATCCAGTGTAACTATGAACAAGGACTATTTACATACCCGAACGGCTATATATTAATATCGATCATTTACTAAGTTAACATGTTCATCGAGAATTAGTAGTGAAAAAACGGGTTAACTATTTATTCATTTAAATTATGTAGAAAGATCGTGATACAGCATCGTCAACCAATCACACACCAATAAATAGCAAGCTATGGTTCGATTAATTTTAGGACATAATTGCCCACGTTACCTACGTTAAATGTCTCGGAGTAACATCATGCATAAGTACATACTGCCCCCATTCATCACCAAATATATTCGTATTCATTAAATTACGTCAGATACTTTAAATATAATAACGCAATGAGAACATCTCCGAATATCCCGTCCGTAAATCCAGTACGGTCAGATATGTGCACGTGGACACGGGAACTATGGTTAATCGTTCACGTGTGCAGTTTTTAGGATACACATCTATTCAGAGTCATTATATTTTATTCATTCGCTTACTTGCTCAGTCTCACTGATCGACTCTTTCCACTTCTCCTCCATTCACCACCCTGGTACCCGTACAAATTACTGTATACCTTGTTTGCTCGCTCTGTTCATTCATTCTCCACATTTCTCATTCAAATGCAATCCATTCATATGCCATATTAGATCAAGTAACACCATAGTCAATGAAATTTGGACAACGAAGACTATATTTATATTAAGATTTAACTTTAATTAGTTAATATATATTCATTTGGTCTAATTAACCCATTGTCCAATATATTCTCTCCCCTTGTTTGCCTCATTAGTTTGAATTTTGGGCATTCGTCCCTGTTCCTCATCATCGCCTTTTTTCGGACATGAGCTCAATACAGAGCAAAACTTAACGATAAACAAGGGGGGGTTGGATTGACAACAGACAATAGAATGCATAAATATAAATCGGTATGGAATTACGGATGAAACTTGCAAATTTAATATAAAGATGGGTGTTAAGCTCAATAATCCTTCCCCCTTATGTGATTCATATAACCGGATCACTCACAACAGATATCCAATTCAATATTAAACTGTCTCTATGTCCCCTCTTTTATTTTCCCCTCTCTCTCTCTCTCTCTCTCTCTCTCTCTCTCTCTCTCTCTCTCTCTCTCGCATGTGATTGATGCGATGGGGTAAACTCCTTCTTGCTTGGGTTAATAGAACAAAGAATATCATCTATGCAAAATTACGTTATATAAAAGTTGTAATACCTGGGACAAAGTACTCGATCGAGCAATTGTATAAAGAGAGCTTACTCTTGTTATACGAAAATATGCATTTGATCTAATTAATATACGACCAAAACACATATCTTGTAGTTGTTTGCTGTATAAATTCTCTTTCTTATTTAGCGAGTTATAATTTGTTTGTTGTTTTTTATGTGAGTTGTTTATTAATGATGCCATGTGGTGGGGGGTGGGATGATGTATGAAATATATAAACAATGGCGAAGGAGAGTGGCATCGTAAATAAGCATTTTATTATACTCACCATTTATCTTCATTAGCAGAGTTGTAGCTTTTCTTTCTGAATTTGGACACACTTTTATTGCTCGCTTGCACTTCATTTGTTGTCTGGGCACGTTGCAATGTCTTGATTGAGGATAGCTTTGTGCCTTGTGTTTTACAGATATAAATCCAATACTTGACTTGTAACACTGATATGCTTGATTTGCGGATGAACCGACCAACTAACTGACAACGCGCGCATCCTGTATTACTGGAATATTTGAATACTCTGTCACATTACGGTCTAAAAAGCACTGGGAATCGACTACTTCCGACAATTGATGGACAGCCGATTGGATGCTCAATGAGGATGACACTCAATAATTGAGATATATCCGAACTGTACATGACAGCAGATGAGCAAATATAATTGAGACTGACAATTATTGGTCTTTGGTTAATGAACTAATAACAATGCGTCTTTTACAATAACCGAACAGTTTTCCAGAGTTGTGGTATTATGGTTTGTGTGTGCTAAATATTTGTGATATTGTGGGAAAACAGTCTGCACGAACGGCAAAATGGGAATAATGGCAAGCGAGCATAACAGAAAACGGTGTGCCATATATGATGAGCCGCTCATCCGATAAACATCATGCAATTTCCATCATCGCAATCCACTTTTCTCTCCCAATTATACCACACATCTTCACACTATTATTAACAATTATTCCCATGTGGGAGCAGCGACGTATTATACTTTGTACCCACGCATCATGCATGCATAGCATCTGTGCTTGTGGGGGATCAAACGATATAGTTGTCGTAGCGAGATATAAATAATAAAGTTAATGAGAAACGTAATCTATTGAATAGCCGTTGCGTTGATGGTAATAATAATAAAAAATAGAGTTCAATTTATAGTAGGTCTGTACTAAAAAGAAATTTAGTTTTTACTGCTACAGTGGCGTTAGTTATAGCAAGTTCTACTTGGTACAACTAAATTTGGTTAGAAATTGATTTACAGGGGCCCAGAGTTAACCTTCAACATATAAATAATAGTTATTATATTGGGTAATGATGATGATGATGGTGATAATGATGATGATAATAAATAAATAAATAAATAAATAAATAAATAAATAAATAAATAAATAATTGCTATTATTATTATTATTATTATTATTATTATTATTATTATATAAATCCTTATTATCTACTCGTTATATTGTCTGCTTAGTTTTATTGTCTGTTCGCTATTGGAAATGCATGTCCATCTAAAAATTGCCTTATCTATTTCCAATTTTCTATTGCTTCTTTCCCGTTTTTTTCCAGAAATATACGTAAATACTTGTACTAAGTGCATACCATTCCATACAACTCCTTGCCTTAATATTTAATGGTTCGTTATTCTGTTTCTTATTCGGTGTTTCAATCACGCACGTCAGATCCTAGTTTACATTCCGAATCAATATTCGATATATGTGATATACTGCATATTCAGATGTGCAACTAAATATATTATTAATTACTGTATATTCTCTCACACATCACTTAAATTGAGAGGACTTCGTATATTAATATATTAATTCCAATCTCAAGTTTCCATATAACAAAAATAGACATATTAGTTTCATTTCGTATAGCAAATAACGCAAATATTGTATACGTACATATTATATATATAAGATAATATAATATAGTATAACTTGTCTATTATTATATTTGACCTTATTATTGTTACTGCATTTATTACTTATTACGTACGCAATTATAAATACTCTATATTAAATAAAAAATATAAATACATGTCAACCCTGCTATATCCGACTTATCATTACTGTAAATACTTCAAACATCAGCCGCAGGTAAACCAGAGAGTCTAAGGCAAATACGGAAAATATTCTGAATATATAGCAATTATATATATACAACAAAAAGAAAACTACGTAGGAAATACCCAAGGACAAGAAGAAGAATACTCTGGGAAAGAAATACATAACTAGTATACACGACACTCTGTCATATAGTAATTAATACACCGGAAATAAACACCCGCCATATTATACTATACCAACCGTCTCCCAATAAACTATTGGAACACCCCCGCTCTCAAGATGATGGGCGCATCCGCAAATATTCCAGACTTTGTAAAGAAACTGTACAGGTACATAACATCTCTACTAGACGCGTCAGAGTCGATTGGGGTAAAGCAGTTTATATAACAAAAATGAACAGCTCTACGACGACTGTCTGAGATAAAAGTAACAGATAAATTAGAAATTAATAATAAATAAATCAAAAAAAAAAAAAAAAGCAAACGAGATCGCAATCGCTGTATCTAGCACGCTTTCACCATACTCCTATATATCATATACGCATAAACACATGCACTCATATGCAATGTACGCATACATTTAATGTACAAATATCTGATTACTCACATATTCAATGTCCATTAAAAAAATCCCCAATGTACTCTTCTTTCTTTTCCTATACCCCCCCCATTCCCATTCCCATTCCCATTCCCACACGAACCCCCATTCCCCAATCCCCAGAATGCTCGAAGACAAATCTCACTCCCATGTTGTATCCTGGGGCATATCGGGCGAGACTTTTGTTGTACACGATCCAACAGAATTCGCGCGAACCATCCTCCCGAGGCATTTTAAACATAGCAATTTTGCCTCATTTGTGCGGCAATTGAACAAATATGATTTCCACAAGATCAAGAGCAACGAGGAGGGACGGGCTTATGGAGAGCAGGTGAGTCTTGCGTTTAATGTCGGAATTGGTAAATGTAGATGATCGTTAAAGAACTGTGGATAACGTATCGTGGATTTTGATACGAGAGCAAGTGAGAATAGGATCCTCCCGTGAATGCGGGAGAAGAAAAGGTTGATTGACTGAATGGATTAGATAATTACATATTATAGCTTTGTAAATATCAAATCCGGTATATTCACTTTCCTATACCTGATTTGGTTACTTTTCATTCTCACTCGTAAATAATTCTTCTCTTTTTGTGCACGTTGATGAGACTCGTATTAAGAACATATTGTATAGATGTCTACAAAGGGGTTTTTCCCTCCCTTCCTCCCCATACTCCCCAACCATTCTCGGAAAACCATCTTTCGTTTTCTTTATTCATTTCAAAATATTTCACCCTTTCCACAGATCCTGCTTATCACTTCTTCTTTCTGCTCTCATTTTCAAGATCACACCGATCAAACATATAACTAAATACTTGTAAAGGCTGGGCGTGTGTGGAGCAAGAGTCGGGCCTCGGTACAAGTCAGATCGTACCTGAGTAGAGTAGGATGACGAAAGGAAGAGAGCGCAAACTAATCGTTGTTCGTTTAGAAAGTAGAGGTTATTCATTACAGAATACATGCACCGTTCGTTACTAACAAAATCTCTTGGCTATCGATAGGCCTGGGAATTCCAACATCCAAAGTTTCAGTTCAACAGAAGAGACTTGCTCGAAGAGATAAAGGTAAACCATAAACCCTAACTGATAACACCAAAAGTGTTTATTTAAAAAACTTAATATTGGGTGAGCATGACTAACCAACATCAAACATACAAATAAAGCGTAAGACACCAGCAAACCCACGACAATCCTCCGCTTCACCCTCTTCCTCTTCTTCTCACCCTCATCGTTCTTCATCATCTCGAGATGTACAAAACCAACTTCGATCGATAGTCACAATGCAAAACGAGACGATAGATTACATTGAGAATTTGAAGAACAACTACTTCGCCGTTGTAAATGAAATGGAGAGGTTAAAGAGAATTTTAGCAGCACAGGATGAGGTTGTTATTGGATTACTGCACTATTTGAGATCTGGTGAGTAATAATAGTTTAATAGTTGTAATAATAAATAATAACAATAAGAATAGTAGAAAAAGAAGAGAGAGGTTTGGGACGGTTTTGATTATTAGTCAAATATGATAAGTTAAATCGAGTGTGGGAAGTGACGGGGAACGAAATTATAGAAAGTCATAACATTTTGTTTTGTACGTGGGAACTATCGTATGTTTGTTTCCAAACGCGGATTCCCCGGCCATGCAGGCAATAATTGGAAAATCACGGAACCTACGTACAACACATTCCCAGAACGGAGCGTCCATGCCGCCCATTGATCGTATTTATGGTTAATCAGTTTTTATTGTGAGAAATAATACTAACATAGTGATTGCAGTATTAATGTGTCCGTGTCTTTCTCTTCTTTCCTTAAACTCTATTCCAGACCGTTTTTCCTCTGCCAACACATTATCTCTCTCATCCTCTCCTTCCAACTTGTACGCACCCCAACAAAGCCATACCGATCCACAGCCAGTTCACCTGCGGGATGTAGACGTTCAGGCCCAATACATTCCATACTTTAACTTTGATCCATCTGGAATGTCTCATACGACCTCGGAAATTGGGAATGCACCATACATGATACCGCAAAAGTTGGTTATGTCGGCTAGGGAGGGGACTTAGGTGGAGGCGGTTGGGGCGGGAGAGAGAGGGTTCGGGTTTGGGATAAAAAATGTAATTGGGGGGGGGGGGTTGGGTTTGCAATGGGAGTTGATCAGTTAAGAGCGTGTATTTAGCATTGGCAAAAAAGCAAAAATTGTATTAACTTTTTTATGAGTGTTCGTGAAGATCGAACTCCATACCAACAAAAGTAGGACATCTTTTGGATTTAGATATTTGTACATTATAACGTCAGATGTAAAGACACTTTTTAATGAGTATTATCATTTTCTATTCTATAGATATACAAAAAACTTTTTCCTATCTATCTACCATCATGTATCTCACCTTTCTCATCCACGATTTTCCAAAGCACGTCCCTCTGCGTAGCATCCAAATGGCCCATGCGAATCTGCGCTATTTGCCATTACATGTAATAGTGCAGATAGCATAAAGCATGGGACTCGTACAAATAGAGCGAGTAATAGCAAATAATAGCAATAATAGTAATATAATGACAATGACAATATGACAATCACAATCACAATTACAATAACGACAATAGCGACAATAATGCGAGCAATACGCCGAATAGGATATGAATCTCTTGATTGCTCCACACGTTTTCACCCCGCGACATTCTCCACGTGTGATCATTCACAAACCCTCATATAATTCGTCCTTTATTCCACACGATCTCGCCCACATGTGCTTGGATGCATGTGTGACACGGCAATGCATGTAATGGGGGAGAATGCGGTAAGTTATCCTTTGCACAGTTTATAATAGTCGACATAGTCTACAAACTAACGGTCTTGAGATACCGAGAACATGCGCGCGTGCGGCCTGTGAAGTTGTGTATAAAGCTAACAAGAGCCGAATACGTTGATTCTTCTTTTATTCATACAGTGTCTTATCCTCTTCTCTTGACTGGCAACAACGACAATGAAATCATTTGGCAAATAATAACAGATTCGAGCCACAGAGTCGTGCAGCCCCAAACCATCGTCCTTGTTCCTAACGCTCAATCTCAATCATGTAACATCACTGAATTCCTAGTGTGTGTGAGCGTGTAGATGCGATTGAACACAAGCTATGGGAATTTCTATTGTATTATGTATTGAAAAAGAATAACTCTGTTGCAAATTTACATATATTAACTACGATATTTAGACTTGTAAACCTAAAAACCAAAAACTCAGTAAATCACTAAATCCTAGCCATTCCATCCGACTATTCCGGCGATTGCTCCCGATTTATTAGAATTTGTTAGACCAAATTCAAAACAAAAAAGTTAAGAAAAACTAAAAGGTTAAAGAATAAGAAGGGGAGGAAAGAGAAAAGACGATGAGTAGCGTCTTGGAGTTACTAAGTACGTGTAAACAAAAAAAAAGTGGGGATGAAAAGGACTGGGGAAGAAATACAGAAAAAGAGCTTGACGAGGGACGATGAATTGAAGCATCGGTTCTAACAAATTTGAGAATTAGACCTGAAATAATAACAGGGAGGGAAATGATGGAAAAAAAAAAGATATTAATGGAGAGACAAAATATACAAAAGTGATAGCAACCTAAACATATTAACAATAACACAAATGTCGAAAAGAAATTGTCCAGTAGCTGTAAAAATCTATCCCCGAGATAACTCACTAAACCCTAAACTCTCATTATCCCCTTAATATAACTCTAATAACAGTAATAGTAAATAATAATAATGGTAACAATCATCATAACACTTCTGCTCTCTCTCTTATTGTACAAGTCTTTTTCTGATGAATCGCGCATCCATACATCTGAATATTTCCATTCTTACCTGATTCGTATTTTTCTTCACCCCAATCCTAATACTATTTCACATCAAAGTAATTCCATAACAATAGGTCGTCCACTCACACCACTCGATCAACCTCACCATCTCACTCTCCCCCTTAAATCAACCCCATGTCTCTCAACCATCTCTTTTCGTTACTATCTTGTCGATTTTACCCCCCCCCCCCCCCCAAAAAAAAAAATCCTCTCCTTTATTGTGTTCTCAAAATCAAATGCACCCCGCTGTCACTCCAAACAGGCTCCGAGAGCTGATCAACTTCTAACTTAAACGCCGCTTCCTCAAAACTAGGTTGCATCTGTCCACGGCCGAAAAAGCCGAGATCGCCACCGCGCTTGGAGCTAGAGCAGTCTGATTCAGTGTTGGCCAATTCAGCAAGAGTGGTTTCGCCTTTCTCAATGCGCTCGCGGTAGGCGAGAATTAGAGCTAAGGCTTGATCTTTTGTACGGGTTATCCTTGACTTTTGGTGAAAAAAAAAAAAAAAGAAAATGTGAGAAAGAGAGAAGACGAAGAATGAAAGAAAGACTTTAAGAACTGTGTGATGTGAGAAGAAATGTGAAAGTTGCAATATCCCCTTTTACTAATTCACTGGTTATTATTACTTTGACTTTATGATATACAACGTCGCTACGTTTGCTTATTTTTGATTGTCTACAGCTCTGTCTTCTGTCCCAATTCATTCCTATCAAATCAAATCAAAACCATACCGCTATTCCACTCCGACAAACATACCTCCTTCCAGGAACTCGGTCGTCTGCTTTCAATATGTTTGACCAACAAATGACTTGCACGTATTTGCCCAGCCCCACCTTCTTCGGGATTGACGTTTTTCTGCTCTCCATACCCTTTGATCGTAGTCGGGTCGATGCCTTGGGGGATTTCCCAGGTTGATTCTTTAGTCACACGGTTGTAATAGTAGGCTATCTTGCGCGAGCGAGACATTCGAACTTCCCAATTTGCAGCAGTATTATCGTGTTGTTGGCGAGGCTCTTGACCTGTGGTAGTTGAACCAGTCAGCGAGGAAGAAACGGACTTGGTTTGTGACTGGTTGGCGGTTGTGTTGGATTCGGAAGAGTGTTGATTCTCCGACTCTTTTTCTGTATTTTCTGTGTTCTCTTTGGTCTGACTTGGGTCAGAAATAGCCGGGCCGGCGACAGTACCTGACTCGGAAGTGTCGGTATTTGCTTCTGCTTCTGTGGCCATTCTTTGGTATGTTTTGTTTTATGTTTCGGTCGGCAGGGGATGTATTTTTTTTCTGTCGAGTGTCTTGTGAAGAGTGCAGCAGTGAAACGTAAGTATTATATGGAATAAACGAATTTGTTTGATTTTATTATGTTCTATACCACAGAATGATGCAATTTAAGTCTTGTTACTCCCTGGGTACATACGGTTAAGAGATCTAATTTATATGAAGCGTAAAGATGGGTTTATGGACCAGTCAGAGTTCTCGATTTTTCCTCCGAACCTTCATTCTAAGCCACTGGTGACGCAATAAAACTTTGACTGGAAACATTTTTGGTAAGAATGCAGAAGATCATGTAAGAAATAATGGCATCACTGCATGCATTGAGACGCTGTAATTGTGTATATCTGATACTGACACTCGACAGTTTTCATGTTGGTCTTAACGGAACGCACGTGATACTTCGACCCGAAACGTTCGGAGTCCGTGCGTAAATTCATATGACGTCACAAAAGTGTCAAACACCTTATTTTCCTAGAATGCAGGTATTTGAACAACACCAAAAGCGTCGGAATCATTAGTCTTGTACTTTCCCGTTTTATTTTTAACTGTTACGAGAAAGCTCGTTCTATCACAAATCAGGATTTATGTTCCGTAGCTCAAGAAGTTTGCCAGAGAAGCCATCGTATGTGTTTAGGTCATATTATCTAATATTGACATGACAAAGCGCTACAGTTCAGGGCAAACAAGAAAAAGTGCCGAGGATAATTGCTTGCGGCACCAGTCAGAGGAATAACTCACTTTATGACTCAAGCGTTGGAAACATAGAGTACAGCTTTTATACAACTTGTTGATGTCGTCGGTCATGCCGAGTTTACGAGCGAGTATGGAAGTTGAAACAGCCCATAGGGAAAAAAACCAAGCGCGAAGCCGAGAACGTTAACCACTAGAGAAACATAAATGGCCAAATCCTCAACCGAGCTTAAATTAGAAGTAATTCCGAAGAGACCAAGCTGCAAACCCTAGAGTTCAGCAACACGCATGACGCGCTCTTATATTGATTTTCTCATCAACAACTATTTCTCCAACTACGAGCACCTATTTTGAAGTTCCTAATTAATACTAGAGGTTATAAGTTTATGATACAAAGAAATATTACCATTGCAACTAAAGAGCTTTGAGAACTTTTTCACAGGTATTTATATTCTTCATAAACGCGCTGAACGGCTTACTTGCATGTTCAAAATTTTCGATATAATACAATTGCATTGTGCTTCCGACAAATTCGTTGTTTGCGCGATTACTGTATGAAGAATAACTACCCGTTACACGTTTGTCTACTGAAGTTTCATTATCACGTAAACCAACGACATCAGAATGCACGTGCATAGCTATATTAACTGGTCGCGTAATAATACGCAGAAATTATTCCCGAATTTGATGATCCCGCACATAACAGAATAACACAGAGGGCACGTTTACACATAACGGCTTAGTTGATATCGACAAAATATACAGACTGTCATACTATTACTATGGTTAGTACTAATGCGGTTCGTCGCAAAATTTAAGAGCGGGCGTGCAATTGACCTCACAATTTTTATATAACGAAATTAATTCTAATAGATCAGGAATACAGAATAACACAGAGGTTTGGATGTGTCTCTTGTACAGTTAGGTAGTATTAGTGTGCGCACAACATATCCAAGAACGTGATATAATGATAAGACAAGACTGAAGTAAAAATGCCAATTCATAATTCCGATCTGACATACACAGCTCTCCGTGTATGTGTTAAATTCTCAAATGGAAATCTCATATGGGTGTGCGATGCAGTGCGAGTTTTCGTTAATGAAAACATAAGGAATATCCATCAACATCATATAAGCAACTTTAGAGGTCCACCTTAGTTGCGTCTAACATCATAGAATAAGATGGATGATTTAATTAATATTCTCACCACCTATTACTATACTTACTCTGTTGGGGAAAGAACATCGAGACCATATCGATCGCGACATATAGAAACTTCCTATACACCGTCTCATGTTTGAGGTCTATCGCAAATGAATCATATTGAAACTTACCAGATTATTGGAGAATACTAATCAGTGCATATATTTGCAGAAAACTGACCTTTGGCCAAGCTTTTCTGCTTTCCAACAAAATGGGGGTGGAACAATCTACAACACGTCGTGTACTGTAAAGCGCACGGCTCAAAAATACAGTACTTGGTTGTACTTGTGGTTGTTATTAGTGTTAGTACGTCTGATCATTTCGTATGCAAAAGAAAAAATAAAAAGTAAAGAGATTACGCGTTGTAGTTACAGTGCGGGACAAAAAATTCCGTAATTACTAAATTACATGATAAAATAAAGTCACTTTAAGATAAAATCACTCTAAGATAAAGAATTTTCCCGCCCCGAATTTTTTATATTAAAAATATCTCCATAATATAAATTTTATTATAAAACCTCGATAAAACTGTAAGATAAAAAGAATTCTCTCACGCTTATAACAAGCGGACCTGGCTGGATTCCATTTATCGATAGTTGAGTTGTTTTCGAGATAAGAGTTAGAAATTTATTTATTTAGTTGTTTTTAAGTCATCAAGACCAGATGCAAAAAGCATGCTGAAAACTGCTCGGGGAGCGGCCGTATTTAAGCGTTTTGAGAACTAATTTCTATACTCCGCAGCTAATTAATATCCAATAAAATATATTAATATATGATTAAATTTGTGCTACAAGTGTTAGAAATTCCGAAATTCGAAATACACTCATACCCCGTTTATATCCCCCCTTCCGTTTAGCCCAAAAGTGGGGATATAAGCGGGGGGATATAGGTGATAATGGATCTTTTCTCCTTTTCTTTATCTTTATCATCATCACTACTTATACTTGGAAGACATTCTAATATCAAAGAATCAATCTCATGTAAATAACTATCGCGAGGGACAACATTCTATGTAAATGTCAAACAAATAACACTAAATAACGCGAAAATAACTATTACACTGCCTAACGTCCATCGCATTACAAATAACACGTAAATAATTGCATGCAGTCTTTTTTAGAAATTGGTGTAACTTAGGGTATATAAACGGGTTCGGATTATTATATTCAACTATAGTTATTATATTCGGTTATAAGAATTTTGGGGATAGGGATATATCTGAGATTGGATTTAACTGGCACAAAAAGAGGATGGCTAAAGCAGAGTAGAACGTGACCTGATTCTTGCAATTACATTGGTCAAATTTGTATATCAACCAATGAAATTGTAAAAAAACTACTCCGCTTTAGCCTCACCCCCACAAAAAGGAACATTCGTTTTTAGAAAGCCATTTGTTTTTACAAAATTTGGGGACATAACCGGGGGAGGGATATAACCGGGTAGGGATATAAATAGTGTACTCATCCTTTGTGCTATTCTAATTTCGGTAGCGCAAAGTCACATGAACATTTTAGCGTTTACAAGTAACCCAATATTTCCACCAATAGTAGCAATTTATGTTGACGCCGCAGTATGCCATATAATCCTCGATAAAGTAAAACCTCTATAGCTTATTATTATGTAAGTTCAAAAACGCGCATATATTCTCCTATGGACGACAGCACAAACGGGAAAACAGCTATTACAGTTATTTGAACAACTGAAGGAGATCAAGACAGTTTTGAAACGTCATATTCGTCTCAGTTTACAGAGCCAGGTCAATGATTCATTCAGGAGGTAAAAAGCTGTCTATTTTAATAGATTGTATTGCTCCTTTTTAATATCATCTTACATCATTAGCGGACAGAACGGCAAACGAGAGACATTCTTGCCTCCAGCCTGGTGACGAATATTTTGAACAGAGCTATTGATGATGTAACTATTCTCTTCATGGAGAGCAATTGATTCAGTGAAATAAAGTGCTGTAATGTTTCTCAGTTGGATTATGGCCATCAGAGGTACAGAGGGACGAAGAACCGATTGAGATGGTCAGGCCTAAAGGCGCTGTCTTCTTGGCAAGGTGAGGAAGATTCAATGCCTTATTCATTAACAGAAACAGTCTGCAAAGATCTGCCTCAGCAACGCCCATAGCGTGTCCCAGTGCCACGGCACACTACCTCCTAATGTCAACTCGAATTCTTAAATTTTATAATAAAGACACAAAGCTACCCATATTCGATAAAATAATTTCGCTGCTCAATTTTGAGACATTTTTTATCATGGCTAGTGTGTTAAGAAATATATGGGTATGTGCAAGAAAGTTATACTTATCTAATTTACCATCAATTAACCAAGAAACTGATACAAGCTAAAAAAATCAATTACGTTTTAATCGATTACATTTGAATCTATAATACATTCATGAAACGGGAAATATCAGAAATTACGTTTAACATAGCATTATGTAACCTTGTCAAGTCATTTCTAGTGTACATACAAAACTCCAACCGGGCTGCCAACAGCTATAACAAATTAGAAATTTTCTCTAGCTAAGCGTTTGTCTCTGGCTAAACCGATAATAACCCCTTGGCAAATCAGTAAGTAGTTTTTTGTAATCTTGTGCGACTTTATTGAAGTAATAGTAATACAGATTTATCAAATTTCCAATTAAGCGCCCTGCCCCCTACGCAAGTTTCCTATTTTTAGGAATGATTGTTCGCGATTCCTGTTACATTTTAGGCTCGAGCATTTATATTATTATTTCGTCATTTACATAAAATTAACAAAACCGCACAGCAGTTTAACAGCAGTCATCTAAGAAAACAATAATTGCAAGAGTAAACTGTACAATAAAAAGTATACAGTAACCAAACAGCAAATTCCTCCCAAGACATACAGAAACATTATCATTAAAGAAAAGAAAGAAAGAAAACAAAACCAACTAATAATTAAATTAATAAATTATTTAAGTAAAATTGTTTCAGACGACGCAAGCGTCAACAAATGGTTGTTTGACATAATAATTCGAATATGTCCAAGCCTTTGCCCTGATCAAAAATGTCCCGTTGTCGATCCTAATCACCGCTTCCTCAAAATACAATGGTTTTCCTCTGGTTGTCACCCCAAAATATGCAGACAGATCGTTATAATCATAGTATTCACGACCGTCAATGACGATACACGCATCTTTGAGAAATGGAAGTTTTAATGAAGGCGAGAAGGTAAGTGATGAGTCCGAAGAACGAAATTGAGATGTCAAATCGCGGAAAGTCGATTCATCAGACGAATCTTTGAAAGTAAAGGATTCGAACTTTATCCCTTTAGTCTGGTTGACAGTAACCGTGGCCAGGGCGTCGCGGGCATGGATTTCGAGATGATAAGTGTTCGGCGGACAAAGGGCTGATGAAGATGTTACACTTGTAGTAGTAGCAGTTGTAGTAGTTGTAGCTGTAGTTGTTGGAGTACCAGCAGTAGTAGTTGTTGTGTTTGTCGTGTTACCTGTCACATTAGTTTCATCCTCATCCTCATCCTCGCTCTCATGGCCGCTATCCGTTCCGCTCTGTTTAGCTTCAATTACCGGGCTAACATTATATACTAACTTCTCCTGATCCCATCGATCAATCTCGATATTTTTTAAATTAATCGCCACTATTGGCTCGGTCTCCGGTGCGTAGGTTCTAATTTGCCATGGGACCACTCTTTGTGGCCATCGTTCTTCATACGCCTGTTCCAATAGTCTTAGCAATCGTTCAAAACCATAGTACTTTACATCATCTATCAGATTATTCATTGCTATTTGGTCGTCTAAGGGCCAATTGACGTCATAACGTCGAAGGTATTGTACAATCATTGCAAAGTTATCAGGATCACGCTCGATGAAGATAGATGTCGTCTCTGATTCAGCAAAGTATCCGAAAAACGCGGCAGTAAAGAAATTCGGAGCATCACGACGGAGTGATTCGGGCGAAATACAAAAGGAAGATTCGCCTATTTTAATATCATAGTATTGTGGCTGGTCGGCAAGTTGATGAGCATGAGGGGGAGTACGAGGAGGATAATTGCGGGAACGAGATTTTTTTGCTTTCTTTGAATTTGGGTTTTGGTTGTGACGATATGGCATTCCGTGGATGAAGATATATTATTAGTGCACGTGGGTTTATTGATGGTATGTGTGTTTCTTGGAGAGGTCTTTGCTGTTATGATTTATTTACCGTAAAAGTGTCATTCGTGTTTAAGTGATTGCCCTTATTTATATTTGTCTTCTGATGACGAATGTCCGCTCCACGATTCGCAAAATTTAAGTTGCATCAAGGTTAGTGATAATCATAAGACAATAATAATAATGCAGGTGTTGATCAAGGCTAAATCGAGACTTCCGAACAGCTAAGTATAAATTTCTTGGAGTAAATGACCAAAAAGAGTTCTTTATTAGCAATTTGCCGGCCGAACTGTTCACATGTATTGAGCATTGACATGTATTACACAGCCACAACGATTGTGCTTGCGGGAATTTGTATCAAAAGTATTCCGATTTTTTTTCGCGACATTTATCCTGGTTAGCTCCAGAAAACAATGCAAGGCGGAACCCTTTTTAGCAATATTAATCCAATTATATTAATAGTAAGACAGAATGCTTAGAAGCGCAAGCTGAAGAACTGTGATAAGCTGAACAAAAAAACTTACATTATTGTAAACAATTCTACCAACAATCTTGGGCTTTGTCAGTTATACTCTAAAAAGCGCCCAGCCCAAACAATAATACTTCTCCCCCCGTTTCTAACAAACCGAAGAACTTTTTAATTCCGTTAAATAATTCTTTTTCTAACGTTAGACGAATACATAAAATCTGGGAAAAGCCCGTTTTACACTGTCATTAAAAATTTAAATAGTCATCTGAATAATGGAGAATCGAAGAGTTAACGATTCCAGAATATACAAACTATTTAAATATTAATATTAATATTATCATCGATTAGATTTGTCTATCTTGTAAAGAAAAATTGTATGGTATGATTAAGAGAAAATTAGTAGGGCGGGAATAAAATTTCTTAAGCTCGGAGTCAGTGTGATCCTATTTGTTGAAATCGGATATTCTGAATTAAAGATGTTATTCTTCTGCTAACTTGCAACAATTTTCGCTCCCTATTTCTTTTGACACTTTATTCTTATTAAATGCAGGGGTGTGCTGTGGAACTGGGTCTCAATTGGGGGAATTTCCTTTTTACGCTTTTCTGTATAAGGATTATATAATTAGGTGCAAACGAAATTACCTTCAAGCTTCGGCTTCATTAGACCAAATGACAGTTTATAGCACCTTCTGACCGATAACACACGGGAATAACTATCCATAATCAGAACAGATGCCATTCGGAGTGGTTAGGATATTGTCTATACGCCTTGCCGAACACAATGCATCGAAAATATGAAGAGAAAGTATTCATATGATGAATTGAGGAGCTAGTGAGGGTGTTCAGCAAACTGTATCGTTTCCAAACTCGCACGTGTCTATGAGGAATGGCCATGATAGCAAAACAAGACCTCCACGGAATATATTGATGACATGGAAAATTCTTGGCGCGAATATGGTTATATTAGAGTCATCCGGGATTCGTACTTTTTCACATATAGAATTGGTTTATAGTTCATATCCTGATTCTCTCCGCACAATTCAAACTTATGGGGCAGATCGTCTCCCGATTATAGCAAGACATTTTACGGAGTCATGGGTAACTTGATGCAAATCACACTTCAAGACCTTCTTATTATTATGTGCTAATAGCCGATCCTTCCCAACGTGAAAGTGCGATAACCTTATGTTGTTTGGTTAAACCATTGTCGGACATTGATGACGTTCTTATTTCCCCGCCTTCTACCAATTTGTTATTATGTATATCATATATAACCCATTTGCTAAAAGTTAATTTCGCCAACTTTGTAAAAATTATTGGCTGATAATAATAACTCTTTCATGAGCCAAGTGCATGCGATAAAAGCATGACGTTATTGTACCATTTTTATTCTGACTCATCCTTCTTTTCACATAAAAAAGGTAATATCTATCCTAAACACTTGATGGAAGAGCATCCGTCCTCTGCGATATGGCAATACCACATATGTTCTAATACCACTTGAAGTACGCTAAGTCGGGCGAGGTTTCATGGGTTTCTGGTAGTTGCCTTTTTAAAAGGGAGAGCTGGTCAGCTGATAGTTTTTTAACTATGAGAGCTGACTATATTTTGATCTGAATAAGGCAGTAATAACTTTTCCGATACCGGCCATTTATCAAGGCTATATTTTTTATTTTGGTGACTGGCGTAAAAGGGATTTTCTTCTTCCGGTAATAGCCAATTTTATAAACCCGCTTAGCTTAACGTTTGATTGGTCGGTCATTTCGGGATTATTATTATTATTGCAAGTAATACAGATATATGAGGCAAAGATGTATTCATTAATTTGAGAGCCAAGTGTTAGGAAAAAAGAAGAAGCTCTTTTCATGGAATTCTACGATCAAAGAATAAGTTAAACATGCTCGAGCTTTTTATTGCTCGTAATACTATCAGGTGACATATTCGGCTTCGTAAATAACCGAATACCCGGACACGTGAGCATGCATGTTTAGCCTGTTAGTATTCGCGTGTGTATGTTTCAAGTTTATTTCAAGACAGTTAATGTGATAAATACCTCCGATCATCAATTTGATCGGAAGGTATACAATCTGACAGTTAAACGAGACTAAAACTTTACAATATTTGATCTTTAATAGTGTGATACGAATGCTTTGATACTTGACATCAGTTTCAAATGCTAAATTCAGACATAATTCATATTTCGACAGTTGAAGACATTTGCCTCTACACTAACGATGACAGAAACATCGAGCCGAGCAAGTTGTCATATGAATAGATTGTCATAATGAAAATGTATGTGGAGGGGATAGTGTAAAGAATCATGATGCAATTTAACGATGTAATATGGTATAACCATATTTCTTACAGGTTTGTGAAATGCTAGTTTGTCTTCAGTATTTTAACTATGGAACTGTATGAAGTAATTATTTGGTATAGATACTTATTCAAAGTGAGACTTTTGTCTGTTTATAATGAAGAATAAGCGTGAAAAGTCGGTTTGCTTTAAGCTAAAAAAGGACCTCACCGAACATGTAGACATATGTTGGTAAGAGTGTTTATGAACCTTAATTTCAGACAGCAATGAGAAATTGATGAGTTTAAATAATTATTTCTGGAAAACTTACACAACTCTATTTTGTGAATTTCCTTTTGAATAAATTACCTAATTCTGTTGTTTAATTAATATCGATTGGTTGGTATCGAGTCTATGGCAAACATTGTGTAGACGATTATAAAGTAGACCAAGACTTGTCTGTAAAAAAATAGGTGTTTTTTAAGCTTGAGAATTACATAGCTTTTCACAGGCTAATCATTGGAATCGAATAAGGCGTTAAGACTGCCCATAGGTACTATGTAGGCCACAATAATTTAACATTTCACAATTCTACTTGATAATATGTGATGATTATTACTGTTGACAATGTCATTCAGAAGTCGTTTATATTAGTATTAGCCCAGCAATTCCGATACCGACTAACTAATGCATCCATATGAGATTACATGTTTCATACGCGTAGGCTCCATATAAGATTGCATGTTTTATGTGTGTTTTCGGTTCCGCCATTCAAATACCGACATTATTCCTCAAACTCTTTAACCATTGCAATATTTACTCATTTGAAAATCAAAATCGTAAACACATAATCTCTCCCCTCAATGCTAACACCGCCGCCGCCGCCGCCGCCAAAACCACCACCAAAAAGGGTTCAAACAAAAGGAGGTCCTCAACTCCCCAACTTACGGGACACGAATCGGTTCAGGGCTCAATTGGAAACGCAGGACCCTTTTGGAACGAATATACTCTAAAGGAGTCGAAGAAGTGGTGTTACCTGAAAAGACCGCTTTGGATCCGAACTTGTAGAGTGGATCTTTAAAAAAAATGGGACACGGCTCGTGGTTCTCAGTTCAGAAGTTTATGCCAATGGAGAGCTCGCAAAAGACCTACTTGCAATCGTCACAGTGTTTGTGGTGCGACATAATGGACCGCAAATCGCAGGAGAAGAGAAGCCGCCAAAGAGGTTCAAGAAGGAAGCGAAGAAACCTTCAGCAGGCAAGGTACCAGTACAACGTATTTGCATTTATACCAACCAGCAGGAGCGGCTGAAACTCAGAGGATGGATGGGAACAGCACGATGGACATACAATCGGTGCCTTACCGCGGTCGAAAAAGAAAGTTTCAAATGAGAAAAGAAGGATCTACGCGCACTATGTCTCAACGCCAAAAACTTCAATGATACCAAACTTAAATGGGTCCTTGAAACGCCCTACGACATTCGTGATGAAGCAATGAATGACTTGCTTAAAGGGTATTCTTCTCGTGGGGAATATGTATTTCTTCCTAAAATCAAGTCAGCAGAACCTCTTCAACTTCCAAATAAGCTTGAATATGATAGCCGCCTTGTTATGAATCGACTTGGGGAATATTATCTTTGTATACTCAGACCACTTAAAATACGCTAAAAACCAAGGCCCTATATCTCAAAAGGTATTGATCTAATTTTTTTATTATATTATATATCTATTAAATTAAAACCATATACAGTCAAACCTCGATATAGTGAAGTCTTGATACAGTGAATTTCGCGCTATAGTAAAGAATTCCTCTGATCCAAAAACAGCATTAGTATAAACTTTACTATATTGAAAATTTTCGATACAGTGAATTTTCGATATAGTGAAGAAAAATGCTCGCCCTGTTGACTTCACTATATCAAGGTTTGACTGTATTTAATAATTTAATAGGAGGAATCAGGAGTAATTTCTCTGGATCCAAGTGTACGTACATGGTCACATTATCACTTTCAACAGCATTTGATCCATAAGGCACGTGAGCATCCGTAGTAATTTGTACAGAAGAATACACAAGTAAAACTTGTGGATCCTGCGGTCATATAAACAGCTTGGTGGATCTAAGGTGTTTTGCTGTCCTCAATGTAAACAAAACCTTGATAGAGATATTAATGGTGCCCGCAATATTTTTCTTCGATATCTTACAAAAAAGGAGTCAGCTTAGGCTGACGCGGGGGCCTATTCCCTGACAGGACTTGTTATTCCTAATTTATTAGTAATGATAAGTTTTAATGTAGGCGTTATGTTAGTTACCATAATGAAGAAGTATTTATGTTATCATACAATTTCATGCATTTCATATGTTTATTTTTATACATAGTTAATACCTCCAGATTATAACAGTAGGATGAGAAATAATATTAACGGAGTTATTGAAGTTTTCGGAAAAAATAAAATAAAGTAAAAACTTTATATGTTTTACTAATACAGCATCATGTCGCTGGCCAAGTTGTTAATTATAGTAAAGATACTGTATGTCGTTAAAATCTAAATGTTATTGTTTGATTAAATGGCTTGTGGAACAAAATAATTTGGTATTTTTTGGATAGCTAATAAAGGTTACCAATTTTAAGATCAAAAAGTTGTGGAATATGATGACGAAAGGATGTGTTTAGTATTTGACGATTATGTAACAAGCTTGAAGATGGTCAATCGGCGAAATTAGCAAGAACAGCAAATGATAAATGACATAGTAATGTGGCGTTAAAGGCATTTGCATGCTTGCTGTGCTTCCGGATTCAGTTTCTTACGGTGTTTGTTTAGTATAGCCATAAGTCTTTGTGTTGATGATACACTCTCCTGAGATAAGTAACGGACCCCCCTTTTCTTTTAGTTTGTACAATAGAATCTGTAAAGTAAAACTAATATTTGATTGGCCATCTGTTATTGGCAATATACATTCTTCAATTCTACTTGCCATGCTCTTAACTAAATCCATATATTAATATGCAATTTTTGTAATTTTGGTTCATTCCTCCAGTAATAAGTAAAGCAGTTATTATTTTTTTGTAAATTTTTGAACTCTTTCGAGGCCGAAATTCCGACCGTGAATGTTCAAATCTCGGATATGACGTAAAAATTCTGGGGTCCATCAGTGCATATTAATATAAAGAGATTAATTTACAAACTAGGCTTTAATAAACACAGTATGTCTATATTTACTTAGAGACTTTCTCTGTGCAATTTTGGAATATCAATAACTCAGTCAGTCACCTTACGCGATCATGGAAATGATATATGCTGTAAGCACGACAACGCTCAAGGGAACCGAAAATTCATCCATAAAGTTCTTATCAATAAACAAGACATCTCTCGTTGCATGTGTTCAGCAGCAACATTATTATTCTTATTGTTACCCAAATCTCCATGTCCATGACTAGATGTTATGTAATGTATGTATCGACATATCATCGTCAACAACTTTACAATGTCTTTAATCAACTAGTGACTCTTAAATGACATCTTCTTTGTTCCTTCGAAAGCTTTGTTTATATATTCAACCTTTAACGATCGCAATCATGTGATTAACTACAGCTTTCGGTTATGAACTAAACTTTTGCGGATTTATAATGGAACAGACATTCGCAATGATAATACATACAGTACTCTAGACGGAGCATATTTCTCTGCTTAAATATGTGACTGGGTTCTGTTCAACATTGTTAAGAGCTATCAATATACAAAGATCAGAGATGGCGAGTATTTGTAGCCTTTATAATAGACATCCTTTGCTTGTTCTCATCGCATGCATACCGCATATCCATACATGCACATGCTTGCTTAAACTCTTGTTGTCTCCTGTAAACTCCATACTGCATATGAACGGGCTTCATTTATCACGTGAGATATAGCCACGAGGCAGTAACAATGGCACACACGAAATCACTTAGTGGCGGCGAAATTTTTGGCACAAAAGTGCATATTAATATTGTTATTATTGTTGTTATTATCATTTGTTAATATTGTCCCTATTTTTATGTTAATTGTATAGTTTTCGTCATAAAGGCCTTTTTAATTCACGCGCATCGAATCCGTTGCTCAGGGACACTCACGATGCTCATTTTTGGGCTTTCAAAGGCGTTATTATTAATATATCAGTCGCCAAACGATATTTATCGTAAATATGTGGGCGCATGAAACATCTCCTGATCGTCTATCATTTCAATCTTTTTTTCCCCCTATGATTACAAGCTTATCCAGTCTCATCCTCCAGTAAAAGCATTCTCTCCACCACAATTAGCTTTTTTAGTCTGTACGGCGAATGTGCAAATGCATGAGTCAGGTACCTCAATGACATATTTGATGTATGCATATATTGTGCAGCGAGGATGCCATAATCCTTATCGATACCTTTTTTCAAGAACCCTTTTACGATGGTTGATCAACATGATGCACATATCCAACGAAAATGTCGACTTGAACCTTTTGACCCTTGTCCAGCAAACTTTCATCTCAAACAATCTTGGGAAATCCCTACCTTCTAAGGAAGTTTGTATCATTCACGCACGAGGCAAAAAAGAGTATCCTGCTTTACGCCCGTCCGCGATTGTCTCCTATCTAGCCCCTTTAAAAAACAGTTGTTGCCTTCCCTGGTCGTAAAGTTGCGATAGACTGGACACTTTTCACAGACGAACATACACCAAACAATAAGGAATTACAACTGGATAAGCAAAATTTAAAAATAAACAAAGAATTTATTTGGAGAATAACAAATAGTTATCGAGACTTGCTTCCGGAGTGATTAGTTCCTTTCTCAAGAGGGACGCTTGGTGGTGTTCACATAAAGCGAGATAACGAAAAAGTCAAACTCAGTCGTCGTGAATAGGAGCACATAATATCGTGTAGCAAATTTATTGCACTACAACACAAACACTCTGCACAAGAACACTTTTACCCGCATTACCTTCCCAGTTATAGACTTTATTCCCAAGTATTATTATAGACGAACACGCAAAATTCGAACAATGGATTTCTATAGAAACATGGAAAGAGGGGACACTTCTCCACCAGTTAGCGTGCATTCTATTCCAGGAGTGTTGGCTATGAACGTTGGCAACGAATTAGATCCTCTTAGAGATCCTCAATGGGATGGTAAGCTTATGCTTAATGAATAAGCAAATACCTACAAATATATACTTATTCTTACATTGTTCTTCTTTTTGATGATGCTTCGGTTCTTGACTAATATTTATACAGAATAATAGTAACATTCCCATTTCAATTAACACTTCCCCTTCATTTTTTTTTCCTTCTTCATTACTCTTTTTTTTCATCCTACTTTTCTGCTTCATACCTTCCCTGACCCTACCTAATCATCTTACAAACATAGCTGAATCACTAATCGCTGGTCGGTTCAGAGCCTATACGAGATCAAACCTTAGTGCCCCATCTCAAGAATATAATACTGATGCAGACGAAAGTACGCATCTGCTAGGGAAAAAGGTCCCATCACTAAAGAGGATGGTGTTAGAATGGACGAGTACCTCTTGGAGACGAGCATGGCTGTTGAATATTTTCCCCGTCGCAGTGGTAAGGATGTTCGAACGAATAGGATACACACGAAATGCGAATGCATAACTTGATAGAAAGAGAAACCGCGCTCGGTTTATCCTAACGCAATAACCTTTTACTTCACAACCGCCTTTTTTAACCTGCTCAAGTCAGCTCATTTTATTTTTCACCTTGCTCACTTATTTAAAGGTTATAATATGGGTTTCGGTTCCACTTCCAAACCGGCCCCCAGCAGATTCGCCCGAATTTCAACACGAATCTTACTTTGCCTATTTCTTACGACAACTCATAACTTATTTCAACTCCTACGGCATACAAAATCCACCCGGCTCGTCGCACGAAATTAACTTTTGGTTTTTTTTATTCTTCTATTTCGGGTTCTATAATGCAGTTGCATTACTCCTAATCACCAAAATATTCGACCTGTATTCTCTCAACTGGTGGCCAAAACAGCTAGGCGGAGTGCCTGCGTATACAATGTTCTGGCTTTTATCACTTGCGGTTGGAACTGCCGTGTATCTGTTCACAAATCTCGCTGTGTATAGTCTGACCTGGGTTTTGCTCACCTTTTTCACAATGTCGATGCCACTATTGGTTGCGTTCATCGTCATTCGATCCCAGAATAGGAACAGATATCGACATTCGTTGACAGCAGCTCAAAAGATATTCTTGGAAAGACAACTCCAATCTCGTATACCCGAATCATACTTTCGGTTTCTGTGGTTTTGTTGTGTGCTATTCATTGCCATTTGCGCGTTGATTGCTGGTGAGGCATACGCTCAAGTGTTTCTCAGGTCATTGCCACATAATGGCTGGGAAGGTTTAGTTTACGTTTATTCTTGGGTCGCTACTATTTACATATTGGATACTGTTACGGATTGGATTATCGAGAATCGGATTAGATCATACCCTTTGTCATCGGTCTTCAAGTTATATTTCTTTATGATCTATTTCATATTTTATCGTAATTTATTTGCGAGGTTGCGATCAGTTCGACAGTTTGCTGCTGTACAGTTAGCAAGTTCGTTATGGGTGTGCTTCTTTTATCCATTATGTATGACCCATATTGTATATCGTACTTTGGTGTATTTTGCGGGGGTTACCAAATCTTACGAGCAATATCAAAAGCACCTTGGACGTTCATTCTTCATACGCAATCTCGCAGAGAATGCGACCATGTTGGGTTTTTTATGCTGGGTGGTCATACTTAATATGGGGCCCAACAAATGGGTGTATCCGTATTTTCAGTTCAAGGACGGGATGGAATACTCGTTTGATTTAACTGTGAAGGCTAGTTGGGCTGTGTGGGGGAGCGAGTTGGCAAGCAGTTTTGTTACGAGGAAGATATTCAAGCATGCGTTTCAGCATGACGTGAGCAAAGAAGCAGCAAAAGATTTTCGTGAATATCCCACTATGGTCATTGCTATGGTGCTTGTCATTATTCATGTGTTACAGGTGAGAATGCATGATGGGAATGGAATGGATGATATTATGTTACATGTGAGGCGACATCACCTAACTATTCATTTTCTCATTCTTTCTTTGTAGGACATGTTGCTTGCAACATTGCATGTAATTTTCCAAGGTGGTCATTCATCCAAATAACAATCTACAATTCATTCACATATCACCATAACATGTTGACACATCAAAGAAACAATAACATTAGAAATAATATGGGTTGGGCGGTTTGGGTTCAATTGAATCGGGGGTTTTTGGATGGAATTTTGAGTAATATTTTTGATCAGTTAATATTGACGGGATTTTGTTGAGAACACCGTATTAGACACATGAGTGAGAATTGATATCCACCAAGACTACATTTAGAGGATCATTTGTTATGAATCATTTTCCGGTTATATATATTATTAATCAAAAAATGACTCAAATTCGCCCCATTTCTTCTCATTTCCTCTTCGTTTGGAATTAGACAAAACGGAGCACCATTTTTATTTATCCAACTCACTGCACTTCAAAAGAGTTGACCTTATTTTCTATAAGAAAAACGCGCTGGATTCCGCTTTTCAATTGTTTCACCATTATTATTCTGTACAGAGATGCATCTATGCATATTACAAATAGAGTGCTTTGTCAATAAAGTAACTAGTTGGTGTAGGTACAAGCAGAGAGTGAAAATTGAGCGGTTGGGCGGTCTACAAGTTCACGATAAAACAATGATAAGACACACCGTGTTTCTTCTTTTTTTTTTTTAATATTTATTCACGTGTTATAATATTACATTGCGATTCTTTTCTTTAATGTATTTATTGCATTATGATAATATAGTGTCCAGATTCATTTACACGGTCGCTCTATAAATTATGAGATAAACAAAAACTGGTACAATGGCTCAAACAGCAACTGTTGGTGCTTTTGTGCTCTCGATATCTCTTTGCCTTCGCACCAAGTAATTGAGCTTGTCCATTACCTACAATAAAAGGCGAATTAATAAATATAGGCCACATAACCAGATAAAATATCATTGTTCATCTTGCTGTTAATTAACTACACGATTACACACATCAAATCCCCATAACTTACCTCTCCCAACTTCCTCTTCCTCTCTTGTAACTCTAAATGCTTCCTGATATATGGATTCTCCTTGGCAAACTGCAATATTTGCTTTCTATCCAAATCGTAAACCAACTTATTATCCACCTCCCTCGGGAACTGGAAGAAAAATTCGGTCAACAATTCTACTTGAATAAACATCACAGCCGTGTAAGTTAATTTCTCAGCAACCATGTTTAAGAATGCCTCTGGACAGTATTGTTTGTTCTCTGGTGATTTGCACTGACGAGACTTCAGAGCAGCAAGCCGGTATTTTAGAATTATCGCCCGGTCGCGGAGAAATATGGCCTCGTGTGCTTTCTCGATTAGTTTGGGTGAAACATGCAAGCGGACCGTATCGTTGGATTCAACAATGTTGTTTGCTGATATTAGCTGTGGGGACGTAACGGTGGACGCGCTAGGTAAAGCATCAGGGTGGTCATCGGAAGAATCATCTTTGAGTCGTGCTTGACGACGAACTTCTTCCTTCTCTGCATCAAGAACATGTTTAATGGCAGCTCGAAGTTTACGCTGACCAACGGTGGTTTTGAGATGTTGCAGCGCCTTATTGCAATAATCAATTTCCTTCTCGATTAAGCTTATTGATCTTTTAACCCCTTCGGCCCATTCTTGCTCTGTACATTCAACTTCATACTTGTATGGCTTTACGCAATTTTCTACTTGGTCCGCAGTGGTATGAAACTTATTCCTCAATATCTCGTTGGTGAAATTCAGTATTTTTCGACTTGTTTCCGGATGATTGTTCAATGGCTCCATGCTTGCCAGACGTTCCATATTCGCTAGTAACACGTCGACTACTAACTGTGTACTTGTTCGACCGATACCGCTTTTTGTCAATGCAGCAGAACACATATCGAGCTTATATTGCCAGTATAGATCATCGCGTGACGATTTGGCTAAATCGGTAATTCTTTTGTCGGTCCAATAGAGTTCGGCACAAAGATCTAAAACACGCTGTTCGAGCATTGTACGAACTTCGTGTCGCACTTGCGGTTTTCCAAAAGAATGTGCAAAGTCTTTGAAATTGTGTTTTATACTGTCGATGGTTTCGGCAACATACGATTCGGCAGTTATGCGTCTTTAAAGCCAAAGAGTTAAATGAGTATGTGAGATAATATTAACAGACAATTTTCTGATCAATCTTATTTCAACTGTGATGACTATCACTCTGTTCAATAACCCCGTAATATGATCAACTCACAAATGTTAGTTCAAATAAAATGACAAACCTATCATTATACTGCACTTTAAATTGATACTTCGCCTCTTCCAATTCCGCTTGAACGGCGCCAACGATCGAGAACAATGACTTTGCCATGTTCTCTTCTAGAACTTCCATCAGCTTTCTTCTCAGCGTTCCGACACCAACTTGTATCCCTCTCTGACTATATACATAATTACTTCTAAAAAAACTCTCTTCGTGACGAACTAACGCGGAAGTAATGTTCTTTTGCACGTTAAGATTCTCGGGTGGCTTGCATACAACGCCGATATATCCGAGGTGAAGGGGATAATCACTATTACGAAGAATTGTTGCACCGACTTCCGGTTCTACCAAATCCATTTTTGTAATCACTCCTATTGTTCGGAGACCCAACGGATCAACTTTGCGACTTGCTTTCAGTGCCTCAGAATTAGCCAAGTCTACATCAGCCGCGCAAACGGCTAAAATAATATTTGGCTCTTTGATGTACTGTTCACATAGTTCAAAAATCTTCTCCTTCAGCGTCTCCGGTTGGTTCTTGTTATTCACTTGTATATATCCGGGTAAGTCAATTAGAGTTAGATCAGGTACATTGGGAGAATAGATCCGAAGTTCAATTGGTTTGTTGGAGACGCATTCCGATTCGGGTACAGCAAGATTCATATCACGAAGCGTTTGTTGGATGTGTTTAAAGTCATGGATTTTGCCGAGGCCAAGTTGAGGAAATTCTCCGTATTCTTCTTTGGATTTTGGGGTGTGGATCAAAGTCAGCTCTATTGGACGGCGAGTCACCATATTTGAGCCCCTATTTAATTGAAGAGATTAAAGACGTCATATAAATTATGAGAAAACAAGACGTAACGATGTGATAGTGATAGGAAAAATAGTGCATAATAATTGACTAATCAACGACCATTCCCCAACGCAATATGATCACACATTTGTCTGCGGCTTTTCAGAATGCCTTCCGTCATTACGTACTTGGGCAAGAACTCGTGACCAACAATGGCTTCCAGTACCGAAGTTTTCCCCGAACTTTGACTGCCTATAACCACAATACTAGGCAATCGTAGTGCCTCGTTATGGTCAATACTCATCAATATATTTCTCACTTCAATTAACTTCTTCGTCAAAATCATAAACTGGTCTTCCTGTACATTCGTTGTTACGTTCACTTTTGCCTCATTGTTATCCTCTTCTTCGTCTTTTTCACCAGAGACGAACAGGTTCGTTGCTGTTGCCACAGCAACGGCTGCTCCTACAGCCGGTGAAGAATTATTAGAATCTGAGTCATCATCCTTTTTAATGAAGCGTGGTCGGTCTGATTCGAGTGAATGTTGATTAGAGGATTTTGTAAAAAGGGATTTCAAGGTGGATGGGATGCCAACGTCGATTGTAGGAAGATCTAAGGCAATGCCTTGACCGAGTGAGGTTACAAAGTCTTTGGCGTCAATAAATATAGATGAGACCCATTCATGTGACTTGCTGGCCATATCTTTTTTGAAATGGGAAGAAATTGATATTAAAAAAAAAAGGCTTTCATATGTTATTCATTATTCACACATATCTCGTCAATGCATGCCATTGTTGTCACTTGCACCCCCCTCACGACTTCCTTGTACCTTGTATTTTATAATTCGCATATCCGACACCTGCAACTCCAACCGTAACACCAGCGACAGGTAATCTAAAGGCAGTCCATAATAGCTTTGGAACTGAAGAGAAACTCAAATGTCTCACTCCTCCAAGTTGGGTACCCTTCAAACCTAAACCTATGTTCACATGCCCGAAACCACGAGTTCGAAAGGTAGAGGTAAATGGTGAACTTCCTCGTAGACTGTAAACATTGACAGAAGATCCGATCGGTTTGAACGTTGCCTGCACGGTTGAATGTCGTCTGATCTGATGCAAGCGTATTATCGGCGAACGGATAGACCTGAAAGCTGGGGATCTGACCACTGCATCGGTGGCGAGTCTATAGCCAGTGAATGTGGGATGCTTTAGGATTTGGCCGACCATGAGATTGTGACTTTCTGACTAAAAGCCACGTTCAACTGGTAAATGCACCAAAGCGCCAATTTTTTTGTGTGACGTCGTTAGTATGGACATGACTTAAACGCATCTAGCAATAATAAACAATTACGGTTTATATATCGATACTGGTTTTTATAATGATACAGTTTAAAGTTTCTATAATTTCATGATTTCGGGATGCTCATCTGCTTTCATCCGTAATTAGACGTGACCCGATGATAAATAAAAACGGAATGCCTTCTTTCAAATGTTTATAATACCGAATCTACTATTTATTAACTATTACGAGATGTGTCTATTGTCATGACTAACCCAATTTACTTTTTGAACTGCTAGCAGTTGGCGGAGAAGAAGATTACTATTGGAATTAGACAACGAAAAAGTGGACAATAAAGACGTTACTAAAGAGATGTCTTATCCGGATTAGAAAGCTAACTTCGGGCAATCCATCGAACCCAAGAGTATTGGCTTAATATTAATGACGACAGTAAAGTTCTCGATCATTTGTTCTAAATATAAAACATTGTCGCGCAATACGCGGAGAGTTCTTATAGTTCACAGCAGTATCTAATATTGAATAACGAAAACCGAAAGAACAACGGTTAACCGAAATTCACGCCGGCAGCAATTACAATAGAAAAAGAAATAACCACCCCACTTTAAGCCCGGTTAACCATTTATCCCTGGCGAGAAATATCCAGGCGATTAAAGAGACGTCAATATTAATAAAACAAGAAAATAACCGGCTGGGAGATACAGTATATCTTTTGTTGCGCACACAAAGAATGCAGTTAAAGAGTTGAATAACAACCTAAATAAGGCTTGTTGATTTGATGGTCCGTTACTCAACTTGTTGCTGCTTTGCGACAAACCACTGTACTCTAATTATACATTTCTTTCAACAACATTGTCTAGATGAACTAATATCAATAACAATTCCACAAAAATTCCAGTTATTAATAACTTAGAAGTAGACAAACTTTTGAACAAAAGTAATCAGTTCTATATTAACATGCAATCAAAACCTTGATGAGGTATAGTATTATGCATGTTATGGCCACACTGTGTCAAGTCATATGAATAGAGCATCAGGAATTGAGAGCTTAGGGTAATGCTTAATGTAATTGCTCCAGGTAATTCAAGTATTGAGTTATGACTAGATTTTTAATTTTATTTATATTCTAAAAATATATTCTTAATATTATTCTCTGTCTAGCTTTTCGTACAGAGCTACGGGTAACGATTAAGAGTCTTGCAAGGAATGTCTCGCAATATATAGTATTTATTATTAATAATATTTTTCAGTGCAACGTAAGTAATAAGTGTGCCTTCGTCATGTGATAATGCATCAATTGATGCGGGGTTTATCACGTGGAGAATGCGACTACAAAAACAATTCGGACGTTCCATTTATGTCTACAGTTAACGTACCCGCCGTAAAAACTCATAAATTCAGTGTGCCCGACAGGATAGTGATAATCGTGCATGGGAGTTGATGCTTGATAGTTTGATACAATATTGGTTGCCGTCAACGTGGACATCAACTGGTTTCGTATCCACAGCAAGCAAAATCGACTTATGTAATCGCAATTATTATTTATCTGTCATGAGATTGTGTCTGGGGAATGTACACAGAGTTTTCGCGTGACTGGAAACGTCATCACATAATATAAAAGAATGGAGTACCGACAAAACTAAACAGTACTCCTCATCTACAAAAGCCATTTAGCGCATATAAATAAGATATTTTGTAGTAATAGCAATTGTAATAATGGCCCGAATATCCAATCGTTATACGTGAACACATGATGTCCAAAAAAGAGAGCAATAACTACAAAACAAGGCACTCATTCCAAAATGTTTATGCATTGAAAAAAAAAGCTGCAGACGATGTTTACCTCAATGACATATTATCAGTCGTTGAACCAATTGTCTTCGCATTTCTTACGTGCTTTCCCTTTTCGAGAACGTTAGCAGCTAGCCGAATCACAATACCTCGCTTGTTAGAAAGCTAGTTTGTTCAAAGTAGTAATTAATCTGTTCCGAATATTAATATTAATATATAACAACAATAGTGGGATCCAATCTCGAGAACGTTCCCGTGAGAAAGCGTTGGGGAATGCTATGTAGTACAGTAAAAGCGGAGGAGAATGTGGTACTTGTATGTCTGAGAATATAATGAGTATTGATTCACATTGATGCTGATAAGCCACAACTAATCGTTCGTAATTTGGTTCTATAGTCACGTGTCAACAACGTGGACATCGATAATCAATCTCCCACATCAAATTTATCTTTGTTTGCATGCCATCATGCATACAAACAGGTGTCTATTACTCTGAACGGGAGAGCATGTGTCGAAGATTGTATTTCTTAAGGTCATGTAAATTGGAACATCGACAATGCATTTGCGATTTAAAATCTATGTAATAAAGTGAATTGTGTAATTTATGTGTATTATTATTCTTTGCAAAGCCCATACCACAAAATGCCGTTATCTCTTCACTCTCCCCCTTCCTGAACAATGGTCAGTATTTACCGGCTTTGCTGTAGCAAAAACCAAACCGATAAGTATGTGGACAGTATTACTCACCATAAAACTTGGACTGTAACAAAACCATTCAGATAATACAGTTCTTTCACATAACATAAAATTAAGTAACGTTAAAATATCGGGATTATCTGGAGAATGCTAGGATCATCGGATATCAAGATATCTATCTGCATGTGAAAAAAAAAAAGTTCGTAACAATAACATCGCATATGACTATAAAGTCTAGATCCGATTATTTAGCCAGCTAACAGATATAGTAACATAATGTGGCCATGTCGTCTGATCACAAATATTTAATAACGGTGGATGATGCCGCCGAGTAATCAAATCGATTTTTTATATAAATCAAGTCTGCGAGACCGAATAAGTCGAACGAGCCGATAGGTGCACGATTAATAAGCGCTTCTCGTTTGACATGGTTATATTAATTCGTTGCTATTTATATCATACTCTGTTTCATTTATCTCAATCCACTCCTTTCTGACAGGAAATCGTGGGAATGCCGTCGGTATGATCAATTCGATAACAATGCTTGACTGTTCCATTGATGTAATGTTATTTCTACAAGTTAAAGTAATGGGACAAATGATGCACAAACAACAACGCACATAAACATCACGAAGAGATATCGTCAAAGGAATTGCCTTTGTCATCTCGATGACGATATCGACTTCCCCTAACTAAGCCTCTTGAAGTATATTTTAGAGGGTAATAGCAATAGCAACGATGTGCGAATGTTTGCTTCCGGCTTGCCTTTTGGCGATTCTAGCAGGTGGAACATTTTTTGTATCACACGTTGTACAACAAACCATAAGCTTTAGAGTTGAGAGAAGACGATGCTCTGTAAGAGACATGTGAAATATAATGATAGAAGAGAATACGAGATTGTTGTTGCTAGAAATTAAAACTGCTTATTAGAAATACATTACTAAGGTATTCTCTTCGTTCTGTGAACTAGAATAGTGTCATACTAAATACGATTCAATCTTCTATAAGATAATTACGGCGTATCCCTCTCGGGGCCTACTACGAAACAAACCCCCTTCGACTCCTGAGTAACGAACCCCTGTTATTATTGAGATTCGTCGTTTTCTTCGTACTCGTCAATAGATGCTCCCAGAATGCTACCGTTTCCCTGCGAGAGAAATACCACACTTGTCATATCTATTTAACTGTGGAATGTATGATTGCATTGGTTATTTCAACACCTCTACAAATTATCTCCAGTCATTATAAAACATGATTGTAAAACGTTTGTAGATAAGGAAAAAAAAGATTTTCCCCCCAGATATCGATCGTACAACGCCTTCTTATTGCATGATCTGCGGGTGATTACATACAATTGAGACTTTTGGCTTGCAAAAAGTAAGCGTCACAAAACGAGTTAAAAAGTTATATTTTACGCTTGCATAAAAATACAGGTTCAGACTTTTGACAGTATGAATGTATATGGAAATATTACTGCGGAGATACACATATGATTGCGGGGTATGGACAAACTGGTTGAATACTTGTTGGATACTGGATTTCGTGCTAGTTATTTTCTGGATATGTCAATTTGATGGACAGCAAATTGAAATAGGGAAGCACAAATCAATAAATAGTAATTAGGTTTATCAAATTGGGATTCGTCCAATGTGTGATTGGATAATAAATATACAATATATAAAAAAAATTTTAATATTAGATTTCATTATAATTGTGTAACGACGGTATTTTTACTTGCAGCCAGTCACAAGATTCCTTTCTATTTATTTACCTGAATACCGATTCGATATACTTAAAAAAATTTTCTTTTCGCATTGGTATTCCCTTGCAACCCAGTACATTTTATTTCAGCCGTGGCATTGCTCCACCCATACTTGCTATGTTATCGCACTCCCGTCTGTCTTTGATCTCGCCACTTTTCCCTGTCTGGACCCCTGTATTCAAGAAATTTGTCACCGATTCACCGACGATTTGGAATGACGATCAATATGCAAGTCACTGCATACAGTAAAGTGTCGACAAGCGTCACGTATTCCATTCACAAATTTGGCCACCACCCAAACCACGTTTCACATTCGCAATTTCCCGATCAGGCATTCGAAAACGCGGATATTTGGCAGGAGAATGCAATTGTATGTGTCGTGCTATAATGCAAGATATAAAGTTATACGCTATATACACTGCCATAATCTGTGAATTGATATTAATTTGTGCTGCTGCGCCCTTCCTTAGGGTTTATATATACCCCATTCTCCCGTCAGACTGTACCGTCATCACAAAAAGCAAAAAGCATCAAGGAGAAAAAAGAACCATTCAACATCTAACAGACCATTTTCAATTAGCAAAAATCTTCGCTCACGTTCCCTTTGTCCTTCGATAATATTATGCATACTGCCTAACTGAATAATTCACGAGCAATACATTTCATTGTAAACATATACCATGACTAATACACCATCGTCGCTAAAACAAATATCCAACATTTCAAAGCATTCTTGTGTAAAGACTGGACGGATAGATAAACATACCCATTCACCAATAAAAGCACGAAAATCTCTACCACTCGAATGGTATAAGAGCGAGACTGCGGTTGAAAAGGTCACTCGATGGTTAGAGCTCGATGATGAAGAAACATTCGTAAGGTCTCCTAAAAAGTATGCCCCAACAAACTATGGAATGATGGAGATGCCAGTCAGAACAACTAGAAACGCGAACATGAAAGCAACTGATAATCCTTTTATCTCTTGCAACCAGTCATATTTTTCACAATCTCGTATGATTTCTTCTAAAATTTCAATGCAACACAGAGATATCAGGCAGAAACGGTCGCTTCAAAATACTAAAACAGCCAACAACCATTCTCCCCGGTCGCTCTTTCGCACCTCTGAACTCCTATTCTCTCGCGCTTTTCCTCGTTTATTCGCCTGGCTCTCTACGGAAAGTGATTCCGAGAGTGAAGATGAAGTAGTATACGCGACAATGGCATCCAAACGCTCAGTTGCGATATCAGACATTAAGATGCACGCGACAAATTTAATGCTGCCCATACACGACATTAAGAAAAAGCATGGGGGGAAGATTAAACGAGTGCCAGAGTCCAGTAAGCGTTTGTTTGGTGTTTTCGTGGGGAGTTGGTAGATAATTGGTTTTTTTAGATAAGAAAAATAGATTTTGTTCCTTATGGTGGTTAGAGCGGGTGAATTATGAAAAAAAAATAATTTTTTTTTAACTCAGAATGGGTGGATCGAAAAAGAAAAAACATAGTGTAAAGGAAGGCCTAAATATAACATGAGCTCACTTTATAATATCCGACGCGTATCATATGTGACTGATTCCCATATTACATTTATCAGACAACCAGCAATTGATCTGTCGTGGTTGCGGGAAATACTTCAAGTCAAAAAGTGGCCTGACCCTGCACAGCTACCGATGTGCGGCTTTGCATGTAATTATCGCGTCACCAAGCAATTTTATATTTCACTCGGTTTATTGTCTTCATTTTCTTGTTTTTCCGTCCGCGTTCCTCGAATGTCTCGCCTAAATTTCTTACCATATGCTTTTATTCGAATACCTGTTAGTATCTTACAACTCCACAGATCGTCTTATTTTTTCGTTTCTTGTCTAATGATTTTCTTATAATCCGGTTGTGTTCAGATCAAAGTCTATTATTAAACCCATCCCTCTTGTTCCAATCAATTTTAGCGCGAAGAACATACTTACGATGATGTAATTGACTGTATATGCGGAGACGATTCGGATTTTGGGAAAATGGTACAGTGCGATGGCTGCAGGGGATGGCTCCATCTCGCATGTTTAAACTTGACCAAAAAACGGCTCCCCGATCAATATTTTTGCCCACGTTGTATGGAACTAAAGAAGAAGCGCGGAAGTCATATCATAAGAAGAGAATTAAATGTAGATATGGATACGGGAAGTGAATCAGACAATGAAATGGATGCCAATAGTGCGGGCATGATGATTTCTGGAGGACGGCGATGGAACACATCAAAGGAGACAAAGGATGACAAGACGTTCATGCATCCAGGAAATTGGCTTACTATGATCGAGAAGCGATGTCTGGACGTTAACGGGTCACATAACATGATTAGTGGAGATTATGATGTAAACAGCAATCTTCAGGCTGCTGATAACATGAATTGGATCTCCCTACCGACACCTGGGTTATTCGGACTTGACCAGGATCTTGTGTCGCCACTTGATTCAGTGGCACCATCCTTATCGTTTAGCGAGGTAATATAATAGATATCTAACTTTTCGACTTGGTTGTGCTGTTGAAATCTTTGTTAGCTGATCCTCAATCTGTCTGTCTCCTTTTATAGGATTACAGCACCCCAGGGCCCTCAGAACCACCATTTACACCAGAACAATATACAATCCATTCTGTCGATGATGAATCCAATGAACAAGCAACGAACGGTCCATACGTCATTGGCACTGCAACGGATGTAATTACGGAGGCTGCCTTAGAGAGTTTGATTCCCTTGGCGGAGTTAATTTGTAACAATTACCCAGGCCAAATATCGTGTGGGGTCGGTAATGAATACGAGGTTCAGGAGATGGATCGTGCGGCGGAAGGTAAGGCGGCAGAAAACGATAAAACGTATAAAGGGATTTCATTGCCGTTAAAACATAATTCGCGTGACTAAGATAATGACCTTTTATTCTCTAATTTAGAAATGATGGAATATATCGTAGCAGATGATGACGACGAGGATATCATGAATACCGTGAGCAATAACAACGCCTGGAACAATTTCGTTGATGCTTCGAATACTTTGTAAATATCTAATTTTTCATCTAATAATTCATATATATGGACTTTGTTGTTAATGTGTATTTGGAGAGATCCACGAGGTATCTCTCTTTGTAGTATATATATTGCTGTTAGAGAATAACCTGAATCCCAAAAATATCCGTAATGACAAGTTGTCGTTCTGGATTCTGTCTGCTTTTCTCTTATTCTTTTGCTTGTGCTTGTGCTTTGGCTTTTGCATGTATAGTTCAAACAATAAAAAGTCGTTTTTTATTCTTGTGGCTTGTAAAAATCATCTAGGTGGTCACATGATTAGCATATCCATAGCCAAAATATCAAATATCATATAAAATGTTGCGCCAAAGACAATGTAATCGTAGGTGTAGACAATAAAAGAACGCAAAACTCCAAAGACAACGTAAGGTTAAGCGGTCTTTACATCTTCTAATGTTAAAGTGCAGTACTTTTCAGTACTTTGTGACAATGAACAACGGAAATATCACGTGATTATACTATAAACGGCTCTCGTAATCCGACAAACTATGGATGAATCTATTGATAGTACACATTCTTGGTTAAGTATATTCTCGGTAATATAGGATTTTGTCAGTGAGTCAAGATTCGGTCCAGACAGTATCTTCCTCCTATTTATCATCCCCAATCACAATTAAGTTATGGTTTCCGAGTTTTTCTTACGCAGTTTTTTAAATATATTTTTGCTACCATTCAAAATCCAAAGAATGGCAAAAAAATAAAAATACTTTGAACGCTTATACCTTACCAAATATGTTTCGCGGTTTTTTAGGCTTTAATGTAAACACTTACGATTGTTTTTAGACTGTCAAAAAAGTTTTAGCCTTTGTTTCCAATACAAAATTCTCGATCAAATTTGAATACACAGTACGAGACCATTAGTGGCTTGCCAATCAATAGTCCAGCCCTTAAATCCCATAGAAAGTTTATGACATTTGACCAAAACAATGTAGGAAAAGTATGTCTAAAAATTGGGGAAGTTTATAGTCGAGGAATGGAATTTTACTTCTGATAAAATGTTAATCAATTTAGTGAAATTGATAAAATAAAAGTGTAAGCTAATTATGAGAAGTATTTGTGAAGAGATACTCTATCGAATTTATGGCAATAAAACCTCTGCTCATAAACTATTAAATAAGGTATAAAGCTCATTCATTACTCTGACCATTATAACACAACAATCAATGGTTTTTTGTTGATTTACACACAATAACAGCCTAAAAAGAAAGAAAAAGAGGGGTTCCAAGGCCAATGCTCTATTCCGAATAGTGTATATGTTGGACATCGAATAATTCTTTTCGATCTGAAGATGAAAATAATCGTAAAATGCATCAGTCACAGACAACAAGGCACTGTATTTATTGTGGCGAAATTATCCCTAAGACGAAGAAAAATGCTGAAAGGACAAAGGCCAATTAAACCAGTTTACATACGATAAAGGCCTTGTAAATTATTCGAGAAGCATATTCACAAATCGAGTTTGTGTATAAGGTACTATCATACACAACGACGCGTCCACGTTCTACAACCAAGTTTTGCCTAATTACAGCATATGATACTATTATCAACAATCGCAAAAGTTAGATAACATTAGGGAATCGTTTTTGCAAATAAAGATCAACCTCCGAAGAGAAGGTAAGGTAACAATCTAGATTTATTGATAATCTGTGCTTACAACTATTGTTGCGCTACTGGAAATGTGTATTGATTATCAGGGATAAAGTGATCACATACGCCAGTTGTCCAACATGACAAGTACAGACCAAAGTATATCTGTAACTTATTCATAATTGAATAAAAGCAGGAAATAAATTATGCAACATTCTATCCGTTCATGAATTGTAAATTTGCATACGTCAAAGATGTCCGACACTTTTGTTTGTGAAGCGTATAAATCCGAACATGGGATGGAATGATTGAATATAATTGCTTCTATGACATCCTCCTAGTCTACGCCTCTGGGATGTTCCAAAAACTCGGCGAGGAGAAGTTTGATAGTATTTAAAGCTTTCATATGATGTAGAAACGCAGTAGATAATACAGGAAAGGGTTAAATGCTGCGTAAAGTAAAAGGGAATATTTGAAGAAATTGGTTAATTTAATCTTTTATTATTACATGATTATTCACTAGTGTATTGTGGGTTCTTAAATGATAAACAAATATCCCAAACCCCAAAAATTATAATAGACAAGTCCATTGTATTAACAAATTAAGACGTAAAATAAATATTTATATAAGGAACAAAGAATAAAATAATACGAGTCCGAGAAAATAACCATATCCTAAAACAACGACACAAACTATTTTTAGTTACAGGGCGCTATTTACATACGAGATGGTATAACAAATATCTGTCCTACAAACAGACCAAACTTTGTCATCGCCCAACATTTCGCTTGCTGATAGCACACACGACTCACGTAACCCGTGTTTAAGGCTTAATATTGTATAGATCCAAAAATAGTATCTTATCCGTTGCGATGCCAGCATTAGCATTAATGACACTAAATAAAATTAGTCTCATGCAGAATCAAATTTGATATGGATGTCCGATTTATTATTCCCAACATCAGTTGATCCATAATTCCGGGTAATAGCAGGTGGTGGCAAATCGGCTGGTCTAGCTAACAGACCTAGATCTTCATCATCGCTAATATCCTCTTCGCTATTCCTCTCCCCTGCGATTCTCTCTTCAGTGTCTTTTCGTTCTTCCTCAAAATATATATTACTCAGCTTCAACAATCGATCCCGTCGTCTAGTATCCGCCGTTATTATAGCATACGTAATCCAGTGCAGTTGAGAAAAAACCAATGCGCTAATAAGAATGGCGCACTGCAAGCCATGCGTTCCGCGTTTAGATTGGAGGAGAAGATTGAATTTGAATATCGCGTATAGAGTAGAGACCTATTAACAGCGTAAGGAAAATGTGTAAGTAACTTAACCATTACGATTCTCGAACTCTGCAAATGAGCGTAAGTAGGCGATTTGTCTAATAGCTATGTATTATACGGTAGACGGTATTGTGCTTGATCAAAAAAAAAAATTACTAACTCCACATATACCACCAACTATCCATCCAAAATTTCGAATCCTAGTTGAAGACGCGACGACAATAACAATCAATGCTCGCAATTCACCCAAAGCAAACAAGTCCCAACTTCCATTTTGCCATTTCCAAGGCTCAGAAGGATGCGATCTTGCCAACACTAATGCAGCAGTACATGCCGAAATAACAGCCACATCCAAGAATGCTAGCGCGTACAACAAGATAATCCACTTGGGTCTAGGCAATGCTTGAATGTTGCGAAGAGACACGAGGAGAAAAGGATCTATCTGCTCGATAATGTGAGAATCCACTTTCGACCTGCCGGAGAAGGTATTAGAACGTCGCCGCTGACGATATGGATGAGCTGGTGGCGAGTTGGGAGTAGAGGAGGAGGCATGCGGGTTCGATCTAAGTGTTAAAGGCGAAAGGCCGTCTGAAGGCGAGGGAAAGGGGAGTTTTTTCCTAGTGACAGATGCAGGAATCAGTTCAGTGGTTGGCTGTACAGTTGTGGTGGTTGTATCCGTTTGCATCTGTTAAGTCTGGAGAGTTTGTAGATAGTAATAGTAATAGGGGAAGTTACGGTTTAGCTCGAGTTACATACAAATTTGTACTCAGGGGCGCTAGTGTTAAATGGGTATGTTGTACACAAATATTATAACCTAATGTAGCTAGACTAATTGCATAGCCGAAACGCTGAAAATTTTGAAAGTTTGTGTTATATCATAGTGGCCAATGAGAAATTACCGGTATTTTTATCACAAAAGAACCATCATCGTTAATAGCCCTTTTTAGGCAGCGCTAACGTTGCGGCACCATATACAGAGATAAGTCTTGTTGTATGTGTTAGTAGCCAAAAATACATTTTCTATTTATTGAATCATTGACGGAGAATAGCCAATTGGAATAAATGGGTATCAGATTGCTAAATTGGGCTGAAGGTAGATTTTCGAAATCCTTCCTCTTTGTTCTATCCAAGGATAATTACTTGGCCTTGGACGAACAATTCCTCTTAAACATTGATACCACGCTGGACAAAAGATAACAGCGAGGGCGGGTCTCTGTCTTTAAGGCAGACAATATCTACTTAGATAACGGCGAACTCTGATATTATCCAGCAGCTTTTGATTTGAGATAAGATTAACTTTAGCTTGGAGAAAGGTCCCCCAAATATAAGGCGAGTTGGCTATACAACTCGGACGGCAGGGAACCGTTTAAGTTGTGAACGACTAAACATATCAACTTTGGCTAAAGCTGTGGTATTTTAAAACAAGTAAGAACTTAAAATATTGTTTATATCATTGTTGACGAGGCCGTTTGTGTCGAATATGGGTTAAACTGCATTCTGAATGGGTTCATGTTATGTCCGGCGAGGACAATAACAGAGGAGGCTTTACACTTTATTTCTTTGACAGTTTGGAAAAGCGTAAAATTACTGAACAATGGAAAAGATAACGGATTGTTGTCTAGGATTCAATTATTAACCTTGTCTATCAATTCGTTCCCTATCAATCCTTCAGAACTGCTTTTTACGACGGAAACCATTCAATAATCAAGAAACGATTTGACTAAGATGAAAATTTCTCAACTTTTGCTGGCTCTGCTACTGTCATTATTGTTAATAAGTGAAGATGTCGCGGATGGTGGAGCAACGATAGTGCCGGATCAAGTTACCCCAATAGCGGTTCCAACGCCTGCAATACAGGCTACGACTATCACTATAGTTTCGAGTTCTTCAATAGTTACAGTAACGTCTACTACCACCACCTTTAACCCCTCTCCTACGCTTCTGCCTCCTCCTCCTCCTTCAAATTCTCCAATCAGTAATACTGCTCCGAACGACGCAAATGGAAGTGGTGATACGCCAAATGGGAACAACGGTTCTGGTAACACCACTAAGACACTTATTATTGCTGGTGCAGTGGTTGCAGGAGTAATCATTATTGGTGGCGCGTTTATGGCGGTGATTAGATTTCGAAATACGAGAGGGGATTTTGGGGATGACGACGGGGAAATTGATTTGAGTGGCAATGCGTGGGATCATTCGATAAACCAATATCACCAACGAATATGATCTCTTGACTGACTAGTAAGCATCTCTACCGGTTGGATTATGATGTGAACAGATGTATAGACTAGGCAGTTACTTCCGAGGCTGATAGTTGCCAGAGTCTCTTGGTGCGCTTGGTTGCAGCTTGTACAATTTTGTATTGGTATTTAATTTATTGACGTTTGTGATGGCTTCTCTACTGTGTATACTATATCATCAATTTTAGAGATAATATCAAAAACAGGAAAGCTAACATAAATATTTAATCGAATGTGTTATATAATTATAATTGCATGACAAAAAAATCTCATCGGGTTATTTCACCATGAAATAATAATAAAAGAGGGGAAATATACATATTTCGTTACTATCATTTACTATTGACAAGATTTTAGAAGTTCAAATCATCGAAATTCACAAGCTCAAATGTTTTATCAAACCCGAAGAGAGATCGCGTCATATCTTACGTGGTGACGACAATCACCAACTCGAGCTCCCAGCACTCGTAAACCGTTAAGGCCACAATGACACGCGAAAATTGCATCGGCTGCATCCGAGCTTAGAGCATTTAAATATGAATTATTTGACCGATACCAACGAGTGATCTTTACTTTCTTTTCATCCCTCTACCAAAACATATAAAAAATCATTTTATTCGAAAATCTTTATATTCTAATAAGGAGCAATGATTTAGGTATCGTTACGAAACTGATTGCTTGTACTTTTCGCAAAAAAATAATGAATTAAAATGTATTGCCTTTATTTGTGTAATCCACTACACCACTTCACGATAATATGGGTAATCACGATACCTGAACTTGTATAGTATTCAGACTACAAGATGTTGATTTTTTCTAGTGAATTTCAAGGCCGGGTTTGTTTTCAAAAGACGTAAGAAATATTGCGTATTCAGCCGTTGTGATTATCGTGAATGAGATGTGGCATAATGATGTGGTAAATTTAGAGTATTGGCGCATTTTTTAATTGGCAAATATTAATCTTCGTCTAACATCAAAGCTTTTTTTAGCTCCAAACACGAAGCCCTTGTTACACGGATCAGGGGATAAAATTAAAATTAATTTGGATTGTTGTCCCAAATATGGTAACTGGATTTATAATAAATCCCTCCTGCAGGATAGGAGTTCCATATTAAGAACGCAATGTTCAGGGGAAGTTCCAAACTTTTTCTTGGTCATCACGTCATGAGCGATGCATACAACACAAGGCCTAATGAAGTCATCACGTGTATAATCCTAAAATGACGACACTGGATATATTTATTATGGCGCGTAACGTATTGCTAATTTTCTGATGTAGATAAGTACCTAAGTTGTACACATAAACGGTTGCAACTCCAAATTATACTTATACAATTCAACATAGCCCAAGCATTTTCCAGAAAGCAAATACAAACCATTTCCCAGAATAAAAATTCTACTGTGTCCCAACGAATGGATCTGATTTGTAGCTTATCGTTATTTAAAAGCCAAAAAATTTTATTAATAACAATTAATAAAAATTCTCTGTCCACATTTTTTTTATAACAAGTTCACAACGACGTCTTATTATGCTTACGAAATCTATTACGGAATACTCCTCCACTCCATTAAATTTTTAGGGCATTCTCATCAAGAAGGCTTTCAGTATTAGCAAAGCAACTTGTATGCTTAGGTTATCGTCTTACTGAAACCTCCATTTGATTAATTTCTGCCAAAAATTCACACAAAATTCGGTATTCATAAAACAATGTTTGGTACAATCAAAGGTGACGGCCTAATAATACAGTATTCCTCTTTTGATGTAAGAACGCAACACGAGGTGTAAAGGTTATAGATTAATGCTTAGTTTTAGTTTATTTAAACAGGCTAACGTAATATTGCAATAAAGAGATTTACTTTTCCCCCCGTATGTCTATAGTAATAAATAGCATAATCTTGGAATCGGAAAGTATAAGTACATTGCGAATTTGGATTAAAAAATAATTTATTTGTATTGCTCTTTGTCTCATATATGCATACAATAAAGCAGTCAACTAATATTTACAGCTGTTTTTTGGATGCAGAAATCATGTTTCTTGCTACAAAATCCTCAGAACTGTACATTTATCAGGTACCATGTTTTATTGTAGCGTTGCTCTTTAAATTCTCCAAAGATTAAATTCCTTAAAACTGTACAATAAACTGCTCTTTAGTCTGTTGAAAAAAAATAATAAATCGTAGCATCAGGTTAGAAAACATATTTTACAAACACTTGGGTGTGCCATATATTAATATGGGGAATCTGGGACTGTTATTCTTGAAATGGTAAAATTCCATGGTCACTGCAGATTGTGATACTTCTTCGCCGAATAATTAGTTGGATGGTTTTTGCCAAATAAATGGTTAGATTTCTACTTAATGGCATGCTGCAACAAAACCAGACAAAGTGAATATAAACACAAAGTGGCTGGTGTGGCCAATGTGGCTGATGTTATTTTGAAAAGCTTTGACATAGTAATAGTGGAGTACTTGTGGACTTTAAATTTATCTACCAGTTTTTCTATAGTAATAGAGCCTTTTAATTAGTCAAATTATTATCACAATTAAATTTAGTATGTCCAGATACTAATACCATGAAATTTAGTTCAATACTTTCATAATAACTGCAAGTTACTAATGTTAATATTAGTATAGGTAAATTACTGAATTTGGTCATCCATAAATCGCGTCTTTTACGATGGGTACCAAAAGTATTGCACGGTCGAAATTCAGACAATTTAATAAAATTGTTAATATTAATATGTAACTGCCTACGTAATTTTTATATCATGTTTGCCTATATATTAGTCAAACGGATTTACTTTGATTTAATCGGTTACAGATTGTAAAAGCTGGTTTTAAAAATCAACCATTTCGATTTTTCGCATGACGAATCTTGCTATTACTACATTCTCTGTGGATAATATTTTACTGTTGATGAAATGCAACATCATGAATTCTTTCCTGACTTTTTTCACATTCTTCCCCAACTTTTGAAACTGAAGCGTAGACCCATCTGTTTAGATTATCTTTTTTTCAGTCTTTCGTCTTCTTTCTATTGCCGGAAATAAAGGCTTTTTTCGAAGTATGCAGAAATGCAAATTTTTCTTATAAAGTGTTTGGCAAATTGTTTTTGTAGATATTTTTTGTAGAAAACATGTTAGAAAATTTTGTTTATTTTGAGAACCATACCATTCAATGTTTGTCTTTTTGGCTGTCATATAGCATAGTCGATTGATTTGTTTTTTGAAAGCCCTAACTCATAAGCGGCTTGTAATTGTTGTTCCATGACATCCCGCAGCTTTTGTAATTTCTGCATTATCTGGTGCTTTCTCTTTTGTGGAGAAGTTAATTCTTTAGCAAGACATTATGCGAAAAATCGAAATGGTTGAGATTTTTAAAACCAGCTTTTACAATCTGTAACCGATTAAATCAAAGTAATAGACAAAAATCCGTTTGACTAATATATAGGCGAATATGATATAAAAATTACGTGGGCAGCTACATATTGTTACGGTCAAATGGTCTGGGGTTTGGGAGAGCGATTAATCTTTCGCGTAGGGGTGTTTTTCCGACCGGGGATGTTACCAGATTAGCTTCATGCTACCACCCTTAATACGGTAGATGTTCAATTAAGACTGAATTCTAATCTACAAGTGACCTATTTATATAATTAAATTAAATGCGCGCTTCTCAACTCCCTATCCGAGCTTCAAATCACTCGTGATTCCAAATAAGGGTTACCCACAATAAAATAACAACAACAATTATTCTACTGCGGAATCGAAGGGGAATAAATTCTATTTAATATTAAACATCGATTTGGTGTTTCGCCTAGTCGGGTTCCGTCACTTGTCTCAAGTTAATTAAACAATTTCGTTTCAATAAATAATTATTGGCTCTCGTTCCTCAATAGATCAACGGACAACTTATACAGCTTAAATGAGCCGTTTACAGCTTGAGTGAGCCGTTTATTAGTGTGTCCGGTCAAATATACCTTTAGCGACCGAAACGGAGTTAACAATCGTAATTTCTATGAAGAATCAATCATATTCTAATTTAGCTAACTGCGTTTGTGCTGACACGCAAAAATCGAAACATTTTCTGCTTGACACTCAAAATTCGACACGGTGCCGAGGAAGATTTTACCATGTGACTCACTTATCTGATTCATCAGATCGGCTTGCCGTAACAATATTAACAATTTGTCTGAATTTCGACTTTTGGTACCCATCGTAAAAGACGCGATTTATGGATGAACCAATTTCTATTTGAAGAGAACAGATTTAAAGCTTCCACACGTTCAGTCCTCATTGCTATGTTTCCGGGACAAGTCTCGCGTGTATATGATAGGCTCATAATTAACATCCCATCAACAACGAGCCGAGTTAATTTCTTTTTTTTTTAGTCACAAGGTCACCATGTATTCATGTTGATCTTTTTGCTTTTATTTAGTTTGCGACTGAATTTTCAGTGGTTTCTGTAAATTATGAATTGTTATGATCATAAATGTAAAATTGAGTAACATCATTAATATAGCAGACTTTATTCAAAACTTTACATGCCAACTATATCAGCATCCACACATTCTCCCTTTCGTGTATTAAAAATGTCAAGAATGATTGTTTATTCAAATAATATACTAAGCACTTTTGTCATCTCTCACTACCATCCTCCTCCCGACTCTGTACCAGTATTAGTCTCAGTAGCGCCCCATCCAGCTCCAGCTTCAGGTTCCCCCGGGTTCCACCCCTCTGACTCAGGTACAGTAACTTCAGCAGTTGGAAAATCTTGTGATATTTCAGGAATACCCGCCACAGGAGGAATGGCTGAAACACTGACTGGAACAGTGACTGGAACACTTTCTGCTGGACGAGTGAAGTCCTCGGAAGCTGGTTGGAGAATTGGAGCTTCTTCTTTGGGTTCCTGCATTATGGCATATTGGTTGTAAATAAATTCACGTAACAGAAACAATGAGATACAAGCAAGAAACTGTATTTACCATGATTGTAACGACATCAGGAAGAGGATCCTTCGGACCCATTTTACCGCTGGGATCTGAATCCTACATTTTCACCAAATAAAAATCCTTAGTAACTAATTAACCTATTCCAATCCTAGCCCTATGCTGAACCTCAACGTACCAACATAATCTTTACTTTGATCCCTAACACACCCTGCCTTAACATAACGTGGCGAATGGCTGTATCAACATAGTCGCGAATTGGCTGTCCAGAGTGAATCATGAACCCATCGACAAATTTCATGGATTTAGCACGAGCGGCTCGAAGTTTACCGGATACAACAACTTCACAGCCTTTTGCACCTGATTCCATGATAAAACGAAGTACGCCATAGCAAGCCCTATTGAGGTGTAATGTAGACAAGGCACAATAGTATTAATTGTGTGCTGAATTGATGTCAATTTTAATGAACAATATAAACAATTTGTAGTCTTAAAGTATCCATCCACAGGTCACACATATAGAATTTATTTCCTGATTGTTTCCCACGTGTAGCCCTTTCAATCTCATAGCCTACCTTCTAACGGCCAATCCAGCCAATAATTTGTATCGCAAACTTTCACATTGTGCAATAGCACACAATCCTCGATTCAATACTTTTTCTGCGTACAATTCAACCATATTCTCAGGGAACTTAAACCTCTTCTGTATCAATGCAGTCAACTCTCGGATTCGTCTACCCCTCTCTCCGAGTACTTCCTGAGTGTGCGTGGCGCGGATAATAATCTCTGTACGGGCGGGAGTGACACGTACTTCAACACCCGAGTAACCTTCCTCGGCTAATTCACGGGTGAAGAACTCGTTTAGTTCAGCGAAGAATACGCCATCCGCTACAAACTTGCGGAGTATGATGGTAGGTATAGGGAGAGGTGGGTGTAAAAAGATGTACAGAATTGTGAGTTACATAGTTATAAATACCCAATCGTCTTACCCAAGGCTAATCATTTCTATGCAGATGAGCAGAAAGCGACATGGAATCATCGCATGGATTAAGGATTTGTTCTTCCTAATTAGATGATACATAGATATTCATATTGGTTTGCTCTTCCTCTGTCGCCCTTGATTCATCATAATTCCACATCCGAAATATAATATCAGACAAATATCGGTGATTCCGTACATTATACCATGTATAACTGTTACATGGCATTCAAACAAGAGGTGCCAGATACATGAGTCATCATTTAGAAATACCTCGGGTGTGCACGAATGTTCTCTACGTTATTCTATTAATCTTCATCTATTGATATTTGATCGCCTAATTATACTCCAATTAAATAAATAAAACAGATTCTTAACCATACTTTTCTCTTCTTCGAGATCTGTGTTGCAGCCATATTCAAGTAATTCTTTTGCTGTAAAACACCAACGCAACGCACACACTTTGAAGTGAGAGGTCCAGGTGGTGAAAAAGAGGACGAAAAATTTTGTTTGCAAGTGAATTTTTATTGGGTGATGTCGAATTAACGTGACGATAATGAGCCAATGAGCGTATAAAGGGGGCATAAACGCGAATTGCAGCTAAGCGTATTAGTGATAAATATTCTGATGTATTGTTTGATTAGTGTATCCATCCATCCTCATACAAAATTCACTCATAAGAACAAACTATAAACAAATTGTGCAGAACATTGACAAAAATCTCTAATAGTTGAAAATACAATAAATGCAAATGGTTCATCATCGAGGTAATAGTCTTTTGATAAGATGATAGACATGGATGGGTTTCAAAATACGAGCATATCAAAATTCACGATATTTCATCGTGGAGAATTCTCTGTGAATAATGAAGAACGAAAGAAAAGCTATTATAGAGAAACTAAGCAGACATCAATACCAATAAATTCATAATATTAATTAAACATCAGCCTATGCCAATAATTCACAAGTCTTACGCGCTAACGCTACGATATCTCCTTCATTAGTGTCATCCTCATCAGACAACTGCTCTTCGCCATCAGAGTTTGACCCGATCTCCGCCAGACGATTTATAGCTGATACTATCTTACTCGAAGACGAAATAATTTTACGAAGCTGTGGATCTAAAAATTTAAATCCAACGTGAACGTCCTTTCATATTTTATCATGTGACCTTCTTTTGATGCTCGGCAGAAACTCGTACCTTTTCCTTCTAAGAATTGAACTATCGTCCAAATGGCAATATGCTGAAATGTTTTGTCTTCACTATTAAGGAAATCTTCGAGATATCCTTGAAGACCACCATCTGGCTCTGTCCAAACACGTATGAACGGTGTATAATCATGTACTATAATTATACATTCAAAATGATTAAATAAGATTCTTGGGCAAGAAGATATGTTCTATTTATAGTGCTTATTTATCAACTCACTTTTAGACGACAAGTTGCCCAAAGCCGCAGCGCTGTTACCTCGAACTTCCGTACTACGAGAACTAGTCAACGGAATCAATACTTGGCATATTCCCATTTGAAGCAACCGTGGCTTAAGTTCGTCTGGAAGCATCAAAACAGTATTCGTCAAGATATTTCACGCTCGTTCCCATTTAGACCCACTCAAATGAACCATAGTCACCCCTTATCTATTTGATAAACTTACCACTCAAAGCCAAAACAGCAACACAGGCTGTCATCTCGCTTTGTACGCCCAATGGCACATTCAGTACCAACTCTTTCACTCTCTCTACAGCTCCCGCGTCAACAATAGCACGCTTGTTTTTCTCTGAACTTGCGGCAAGATTTCTTAGCGTGCTTATGGCATGACATTGGATTTCTTCATTTTCTTCATATGCGAGCAGCTGGATGAGAGGTTGAAGAAATCCTGCGTCGATTATAGGAGATTCGTTCAACGGGTGGATGGAGATATTACGGATACAGGCTACTGAAGAAAGGATTAGAGGAAGGAAAGAGGATTGAAGAAGACGGAGGAGAGGTGGGAGGCCTTTTGAGCGGACTATTTCGAGTTGGTATTTCTCTAAATCCAGTAAGGACAGACACATTAGGGGAAGAATTTGGTAATGAAAGTTAAAGCTTTTTCTTCTTCTAATTCTCTTACCATCAGAAGCAAGATTTCTTAATGCCAGTGCAGCTTGACATTGTACTTTGAGTGAAGTTGAATCCATTAATCCAATTAACGATTGGACTAACCGAGTCTCTGTTGAAGCCAGTTTCTTACGATTGAAACCTACCGAGGTGGGGGAAAAAAGAAGAGCAAAACCAACCGGTTATTACAATAGTTGAATGACAACTAAATAACGATAGCAAAATTTGGAAGACAAATCAGGCAACATGACGACATTTGAACAGACTTAAGTGTTAACCTTAATTTTAAACGTAATCATAATTAAGTACACAATTAGTCTCTTATTGCCTACATATTATCATCTTTCACTCACCGTCAACAGCAATGTTACTGAGAGCAGTTGTACAATAATACTGGACATCTGTATCAGGCGAATTAAGTAGCCCGACTAACACCGGAATAGCTCCAGCATTTACGAGCTGTTGCCTGTTTTCATCTTCACGTCGAGCAAGAGATGAGCCATAAAGATTCTAATCCCATGTTCAAATGGACAATAATGCAAAAAGCGATTCGAATTATTATGGTACCTGAGTGAGTCATATTCAATAAAGCTCCTGTGGCATTTCTCTGTACTCTCATGTCTTTAGATCGTGCGAGACGTGTCAGTGGGACAAGAGCTCCTGATCTGGCTATTTTAGACTTGTTTTCATCTATTAAGAAAAATATTTAATATCCACATTTTCTTAAGTTGATGGACACATTGCCGATTTAAAATATTACCATGTGTAGCTAAATTTGTTATGCATCCAACAGCATTACACTGAACTTCAACATTAGGTGACAGCATCTGACGTATCAAGGGCTCCAATCCTCCCATCTGCACGATGAGGAGTTTGTTCTCAGCTTTGAGGAAAAGAACGTTAGTACGAATATAGACAAGCATTGTCACGTGTTGCTATTATGCAGCTAATAAATGCAAATAACACCCTCATATTGAATACATTCTAAGCGTCACCGCGCAACATTCCTGATACTCACAGTCCACAGCTAGATTTCCAAGTGCGGCGGATGCGGCTCTCTGCACCTCAACATCAGGAGATTGAAGGAGGAACATAATTGGTTCCATTGTTTCGCGATCTACTTCTCTAACATCTGTTCAGGAAAGCAATAAAATCTTATCCATTTTAGTTTTGGTCGTATGGACGAGAATAAAAGAAATAAATCTTCTTCTCTATGTTATATTAATACTGTATGTGATGTGACTAATAGCTGCTTAATTGCTACTATTTGCAAATAGTTTCATTCTCATCCTCTCAATAATCAGCTCAAGGCAAACCTTTTTCAGTAATTTCAGCGAACGCCAATGCAGCAGACCGTTGCAACTCAACTTTATCAGAGAACGCCAAAGTAGACAGCGAATGTAATGGTTCGCCCTCGAAGAAGTTTGTTTCGTCTCGATCTATCGTAGAACAATCAAAACCGGTTTTCAAATCACATTCCAATCAAATAACGATGTACAAGTTGCTTAACATTCACTTACGCTCAAGATATTCCAATAACACGGCCACAGCCTCACGTTCACTCTCTTGCAACAGTGGTTCATAAAGTCCGTTTCTTGGTCTCTCTAAACGTTACAGCGCCAAAATACCGTGGTGTTTAAACTATATTCTAATACGACTCTTCCAAAATATTCCTCGTATTGTTACCCTTCAATAGTCACTGGTTACGCATTATATTATCTTTATTCGTATAAACATATCCCATACGTATGACGGTGATAAGACACGTACTTCTGAAGCAACAAGATACACAGACACCCATGGTTGTTTCGATTGGTTTATTGAAGTGAATATGGGAAAGAGAGGGTTGTGGAGGGAATTTGATCTTGTAAACAAAAGAGAGCAAGTAATCGAAGTGGCTGAAGTGGATTGTGTTTAATATCAAACGTCAAGTAAGGTTTGAATTCGTAAAAAAAATTTAAGACAACGTAACAACGAGAGCGATAAACACAAAATCAACTGAGGTTCCCCGCTGATAGTATGGTTGTTCGTTGGATTAACGAGGCAGAACTTGGACTTCCAGCTCGTCTCTCTCTCTCTCTCTTTGCTTGAAGAAGACTCCACTTAAAGATAAAACCACAAAACCCGCAAGAGCGAGTAACTTAGCAGGATAAACAACAAATATCAGCAAGTCACAAGAACTGCATTTGGAATAGATGAGAAACGCCACACCACACACAAATCCCCACCAATGATCTAAGTGCAGATTGATTTTGAGAACACGAGATCCAGCTTTAAGACACGTCAGTAATGTCCAGAATGACAGAATGACATCATCAACCTCATGTAGCTATGCGGATTACGCCGTTCACACGGTTTTGTTAATAGATTATCAATTGACATTATGCCAAATAAAGTCAAAAGAACCGCTTTCACGTTCCGTTTACACAACTTGCAATCCTTACGATTTAGTCACATTCACCAACAAGTCAAACCTCGTTAAAGCGATAATATGAGTGATACGCAAAATATCGACTTATCTGGGTGTTCAATTTTCAACTTTGTTGTTTACTGTGCAGATAAACTAACAAAATTACGAATAAAACTACCAATGGATAAGACTGAATATGGTGGTGTCTAGATTTATAGTCATCGAACCAACCATTGGAAGCACCAAATTTCTCGACCCTTAAGAGTTTTTGCCTTTTGCTTAAGGAGATCGACAGTATGTCATGAACGGCTCGTGTAAATCATATTGGCCTCTTCAATCTCAGGGTATTGCGTTTTACATTCTCTTTTCTTTTTGATGAAAATTCATCACCGTTAGTGGCCCATCACTTGTAAAGTACAGATCTCTTTTTCTGTGTGAGTTAAATATAATTCCTTGTCCTTTCTTTCTTCGTAATTATAGAAAGATCAACCAATTAGAATGTTTGACTCTTCCAAATTTAGTAAGTGTTACACAAATATCAGGTATGGTGCACCAACTCTATACCCGACAATAAAATCACCTGCCTTTTAAATCTTTCAGCTCAATGTAGAGACGTTTTTTAGAAAATCCGCCAGTAATTATGTTTGTTGTAATATGCTTTATAAAGTTACTGGCTGTTTTGTCGTAAAAATGTCTCTACACTGAGTTGAAAGGTTTTAAAGTTGGAATATTTTTTTATAATAATATATAAGGCTCTTCGAAAAATTGAAACATATCTAGTGAAGGCGATCATTTCCAATTGGTGATCTTGTGTAACGTTTGTACCGTAGATTTGTTGATTTTGCCGATTAATTTCGTAAATCGAGGCAAAGTTTCAAGCGAAAAAGTTAATATTAAACGATTTGTAGTACTGTATATCATATGATATTAAATTCTTGAACTTTATTGGGCGGTTTATTCGTTACACTGCATTGTGAAAGGTAAAAATTCCTATGTAAATAGCGGGCATCAGTACGAGGTTTGATTGTACTCTGTATGGCTAACAAATATTTCTTACAACCGGATTATTTGCATTCTTGGAACATAGTGACTCAGTATTCATTTGTAATTCCAAGTAGTAAAGCATCGTGTGGCTTTGCAAAGAGTTTCGTATTGTTATATTCATAGCCTATAAAATATACAAGTGCAAATCTGTATTAGGACTAGTTCACTATCGATCTAATTCTATATTGTAAAAAATTTTGACATAGTATGTAACTTCAATTTCTATATTTTTAGTACATTTAAGCAAATGGTGTGCAAGCATGTAACGTGCTCTCCCGATTTTATACACTGGTAATGCTATTAAGAACTATATCTTGAGAATTGCCCAAATATTCTTGACAGCCATTACATAAATATGGTAGCTTTAATGTTAATTCGAGATCTATCCCTTAAACTGTATTGTCGGCAAATTTGCCTACAATTTGGATTCGCCAACAAAATCGCTTTATATCACCTGATGCTACTAATAAAATACCCCCAACATATATAGTTTGCCAAAGACTTGTCATAACTATTAATATGTAAAGTCACATGACTGTAGGTTGCACGAGCTGTCTTGCCGATCATTAACCCTAAGCATGTATATTTTATCCCCAATACGTTTAACTGTTGGTTATTAAAAAAAGTCTTATCCCACCAACTCTGAAGTCACAATACTTAGATAATTCGTGAGTCGGTACCATAAAGAAACAGATTTCGGTGAAAGCAAACAAAGCAGTAGAAGCAATGTAAGAGTTCAAGAAAGAGGAAAAGGTGTGTGGGAGAAGAAGCAGGAGAGGAAGTAAGCGGGAAAGTATGAGTTTAAGTGGCATAAGTTATAAGTGTCTGTCTTCACTTTTAAATGAATCATCTGTTTACCGAGGTCTGACTATTTAGACTCACAACAAAGTAAAGGGAAAATATAGCCCAAGAATATGGTACCCTATCATAGCTCGAATAAAGCAGAATTTGCAAAATAAAAAGTTTGAAAATTTTACCTAACCATTTTTTAGAATATTTTTCAACCACACACTCTTTCACTATGTAATCCTGCTCATTTAAATCTCCAGGAGTTGGTGAATTATATTTCTTAATGGTCAAAGTGCAAATAACATAATATTGTTCTCATAAAAAATTATGTGTCAAAATTGCCAAAATTGGCCTACTACTACAGATTAAGGGATAAACCAACCTTTAATTTTCGGAGAACCGTATTTACCGAGAAATCTTTTTAAACGTTTTCTGCTATTGCGTTAGCCTGAGTTGTCTTTCTTTGTAGTGAAGAAAGCGCTATGTCTTTACAATTGTAGTCTGCTATATATACCTATATTCGGGAAATAAGAAACATAAAAATAATTTTGACTAGCATGTTGCCTCATTGTAAGTTGTCTCGATAATACGGTGCATCAGTTTCAACGCAACGTGTGTTACGTTTTTTTTTTTTGAAATCTTGATTCTCACCGTATATACGTACGTTCTATTAAAATGTATGTGGAGTGTGTTTGAAACATCCAATCAAAGCTAAATACCGCATACCATACAGAACATATACACTTTTTCATGCCGAAAGTCTTCGATTGCTATCGTCCATATATACTGTGTAAGTAACAACGATTATTGTAGCTAAGTGACTGTGCTTTCGAAAACAATGTTGATACGTTGAAATACACTATTTCTATAACGATAAAGTGCAGCAGACATCTACATATACAGTATAACCATATTTTTCCTACACATCGCAACTTCATCGCACTATGCTGATACATTTAATCGATCATTATCCTGGATGGTTGTGTATCCGAACTCGGGAATGGGCGCGCGTTTCTGTACTTATTATAGGACAGTATACCCTTACTATTTTTTGTCTAATATATATGAAATGTAATTTCAAAAGGTTCGGTTAATCGTTATTCAGTGGCAATATTAATAGCCGACCGGAACCATTTAACAGTCAAACTTTAAACCCCTTATAAATTATTACGGAAGGTTTACATCCCGGTATCCCCGTGGAAATTCCATTTGGAGCAATCTTGTTGAAAAGTTACAAAGACTTACATTGTAAAAAGAGTCACGTTTCAAATAATACGTAAATGGGGTATTAGTATTAGTATGGCATAACAAACTAAAAAAAAATACAGTATTTGTTAACTAAGAATGGTGCTGCCAACTAACATTATATTTCTCAGGATTTGATTTGAATTTCAGGATGAGCACCATAGATTATTGAACATCGATAAGCCTTATCCATCACTTCTTTGACCGAATCTCTAGCCTCCATTTAACCCGATTTATTGATAAAAAGTTCTTTTTCGTGTCAGTAAAGTAGTACTGCAATCAGGATAATTTTTGGTTCTGATTCAGTATAAAAGATTCGTTGAACTGCTTGAACCAAACTGTCGCCATATTAACTGTCATGTTCGAATGGAGAAAGAAAATATCTCAGCTCCAAAAGCCTTAATTCTGTTGCTTGTTGGTTTCTTGTTTGGGGCGTGCGAATAAACCGTATGCAACAACAGTAGCCGGTAGCATGTCTTCATTAGAATCTGCGATGACAACATTTTTGGGGCATTCACTCATTCGGCGCAACTGCAAAGTCTATAATAACGGCAGATCCTTTGTAAAAGTCTAGTTTGTTGAAGGGTTATTTACGATTAAATAGTTTCCGTACAATTTATCGGCCTAATACTAATGTGCTGGTAGCTAATTAACATACTGCATATTTCTCAATGGTCTTTCCTTTATATTTATGCAAGTTCTTTATGTTTTACCTTTCTACGTCGTCATAATAATAAGAGTATTTTCTTTTGTAACATATTACACTGACCACAATTAGTTACGCAAGTCGGCCTGTATATAAAAATACAGACAGAATTTTAAAACAGGACGATCAGTCGTACAATTCAAAACGAAACAATTTGACTCTGCAATAGATGAAGTGAACGTAAGGACGATTGACGGCCAATGTAATATTCAGCGAAGGCAGGATAAATAATTTTATGTCTGCGAAGAAATATATTCATTTTGGTACCAACGCAGCAATCGCCAAGTCGCATTGTTTTAATTAGATATGTAATTATTGAATGCAATAATCGAAAGCTTTGTTTCTTGCCAATTTGCACTTTCTATCTATCTTGGTCAGCGTACCAATTATGCTTGTCGTGTAAAAGTATAGCGGTAAATTTGACGTTACATTTTACTTCAAGGCAATATTGACGTGCGCATTGTAACCATTTTGTTGGTTTTTTTTTTTTTTTTTTTTTTGTGAGAAATTCAATAGTTATGATAATAAATATAAAAATTATTTGCGGGCAATTGGAAGGAAGGATAATATATTTTATTCAAACACTCCATAAGTTTTGTATTGCAAGACGACAATCGCAATTTAAGATAGCCATTCTACTATTGCTATCAGCTATAGTAACTCAATTTCGACAAATCTATCTTAAAGAAAGTCGATTATTTATTTATTTATTTATTTATTATTTTTTTGTTACAGTCTTCAAATTAGTCCCGATCCACTATTGAGGATGCTGTGTAGTCAACTGGTGGGGGTTTCCCGATATCAAACAAGTCAGATATTTACAGAATGTATAAAAAATGACTGTTGTTCAAAGCCTAATAATGCGTTTTTGACAAGTTTTTCCTATCTAAGCTTGTCAGGCATTCTACTTAGAAGACAATTATTTGAATTTGGTCTTCTCATCTTTTTTTCCCCTCTCCATACAAACACGCGGAATTTGAAGCCGAAACTTCTTTGGACCATTTAAGAAAGAGTATCAAATCGATTGTTTCACTGTTAATTAATTTTAATAAATCAAGGGAAGTTTTAATGCTTTGATCAGGAATCACATATTTCCAAGTCTGGATGCAATAGAATTTTTATAATATTTGAGCAATCAACATTAAACTGTCATGTGTTAGAGCCATATCTGCAGTGTATAACTCAAATAGGTTTTCGTATGCTTGGCGCAATACAAATAACTGCCTATGTGTGCTTATATTGATCGTAAGTCGATATTTCTCATTCGGTTTCCAAGTTCTTCAGCGTATCTCCAGAGTTGTCTCAAAACGATTAAACAACTACACAGGGAATATCTTCGGCTCTTAGACTGTTTACGGCTAGTGAAGATAACTATATTGATCTTGGCTTCTGGTACGCCGATACAATAGGAAAAAAGATAGCACATTGGTGTCTGTATTATTGGAGAGATCTCCCATTTTAGTAATTACAATATATGATGTAAGCTTAATCTAGAAACAAGGGCAATCGCTTATCACCTTTTAAAGCAAGATCATGGAGACTGATTGCCCAAACGTTATTACTTTAAATAGAATTCTCCGATGATCTGCAATTAACCGTTTTGCTACCTTCCTTTAGTGGTCATTCTGAGAAGATATTAAAGATTCGTTCCTTCAAAATGCTAACGAATACGCTAACACATGAACGGTATGATATTGATGGTATATGATATGTTAAATAGAGAGTTTCATGTCAGAAGTTTGAATATCGGTACCATCGACAATATATCGATCAATAAGACATATGACAGCCGTAATACGTTCGAGATTTCGGACATTAGCGTATAGCATAAGTTCAAAGTAAGTGTCGCCAGTACGAATAAAATTGAGATTTAAGATGCTGGATACGTATTGCTGGTATTACACTACGCCAGCAAAGTTGAGATATCTCGAATTCATACAATGCGAGTATGTGTAAAATGTTGCTTTTCTAACGGTTTTAATGTATATCTTGTTAGATCACGAAATATATCGTAAATGCACGCAAGCAAAACGAGGCCACGTCTGCATTTTCACACATTCTTTCTGCATGCGTCTTAATATTATAGTTCGTTGTCATAACTTTATTATGATTCCTTGTTTGCAAATGACCATTACCGTAACACAAATAGAATCGATGCATTTGATGCATTGCATAGAAAGAGTACTGGTAACACAGGACGGCTCATAATTTGACTAAGTAAAAAACAACTATTTCAAATCCAGATATTGTACCTCAATTTCCAAAATAGCAAATGACGACGATTCAGGAGACAAGATGGTCAATTCAGGAGAGCATATATTATTGAATGCGTTTTTTAACCTACTGGAATATATTGAAACTGTAATCCAGTGTGTTGTTGGGCTGTTAGGGCAACTCGACACGAGACCAACCCACGAAAGTTATCTGTGAAATCAGTTAAAGATCCAGCAGTCTATCTCAAGGAAAAGTATATCGTTAAAATAAACGGTCGAATAGGAATAAAGATTATTATATTCATGGATAAAATGATAAATGTGTTGCCAATATGTTATTAGTTCCGAGATTGAGTTACATTGTAAACGATACCTGTAAAAGTTAGATATGTATCGTGCACACAGGACAACCGAAATATCGTATATTATACTATCCGATTTTAAAACGGATTGTCACATTATAGATCGCGAGACGGAGGTACTATCGAATAGAGAGAGAAAAGCTCTGCTGTAAATAGCAGTCAAAGATGACATCGATAGCTAGTATGCCTTGCTTTATTCCCTCTCCCTGCTTAGTCAAGCACAGTATATCTGTCCCATTTATTCCTACGGCAGGTCTGTTCATCACTTTTTTTTTCGGTTGATCGTGAATACGCGATAGAGATTATCATCATAAACGCGAATACTAATCAGTATGTGGTGTTGGTAATTTCTATTCACTGACCACTCGCTATTACCTTTTCACATGCATTTTCCCTTGAGCGGATTTCATCTTATCGTATTATCTTTCATTGGTGCTTCTCTGTTTATCTTTATACTTGGGGATGTTCTGATAGGCTCGAAATTTATATGTACAAACCACAATTGGCAATTTGATTTTACGAATGACGAAGCATGTGGTAAACACTGTGCTGCTGCTATTGGCGCGTTTGTGTTTAATGAGGGATGATATGGAGGGATGGTTAGAATAGGGTAAATTTAAGAGTAAATACGATTCTTACATGTAACAGAGTTGTATGTGTATGTGTATGTGTATGTGAATGATTATCTATATGTTGTCACATCTTACGTCTAATGTTATGATATCTACTCTCGAGACATAACTATTTAAATTGTCTAAATCATTACCCATGTCGTCATTCGGTGACGCTTATTCTATGTATGCTTCAATTGTCTTAAACATCCTTTCTTCACCCTTAATTATGATTAATTGACTTTAATTAGCATCTCGATTGCTGTTGGTCTAGCGTTTTGTTGTGGTATGCGAATTGCCTTGCCTGGATTAATTTCGGCTAACCTTAATAAATTAAATGCAAGCTTCTCTAACTATAATTATAAAGACTGAATTAGAAATACATAAATAGTAGTAGTAATATAATAAATGTAAAATTAACTGATGAGAAATTTAGTATTTGTTTTGTATGCTGCAAATCAACTAACCTGTTTGACTAAAAATAAATATCGCACTTATAATAATGCTGGTTTAATATTGGCTTTGTTGATTCTGTTTTCTCTTCCGATGTATCGTTGGTTATCAAATATTTATACACACGGTATTTCAGTCTGTCCCATAATCCGATTTAATAGTTTAACCAATCTCCGTATTTAAAGTTACAGTGCTCGTTTGATGAGCCGGCTGGCATGTTTCATGCCCTTCTTCTTCCCCTACCGTCGAGACACGAAGATAATAACCAAAACAAATATATAGACAGATGGGTAAGCAAGAACGTGTGTCACGGATATGAGTTACGTTCAGGGTGAAAAAGATAATCTACCGAATATTAGTGCATACACATCCGTTCGGTAGGATAGTGTTGTGTCTAATGCTGTGTCTAGTGTTGTGTAAGTAGTGTATCTCTATTGTATTAGTAATTAATTATTTGGATTATTAAATAAACAGAAGTTTAAATCACACAATCAATTTTCCGCCACTTATCGATTGGAAGCTTGTTGATATGCGTTGTGTAGATGATAATTTAATTTAACCTGTAAAACTACTCAGACCAAGTGCATTTAACTCAATTGCGGATGGTGAAATGATGAATATTAATAAGAGGAGAAATCCGGTAGACCGAGTAATGACCGAAAGGGGTAAATAATGTCGAAGGTAATGATTATATGTACATAATTTCCGATTATGCTGAAAGCGTGTTTCCCTTATTGTTATGCTCTGTACCCTTACATTTTTGCATGCCCGCTTACAAACTGTATTTACGGCATTTCATCTGAATAGCTTCTTGTTCTGCTTCTGTATGTCGACAATTATTAGGCTGACCATATTTGGTGATCACTTATTATTAAACAACGACCTCATTCAATGGATTCATTCGATACCCTTGGGATGGATGGATGTAATTAATAATAACTTGTGGATTATTGTATTTTACACTAATAGGGTAAATATACAAAATTTCGGTTTCAGATCTTTTCTTAAAAAAGTGTACAGATCGAATTATCCCACCAATTTTAGTGTGCTGCGGTTGGCTGTCGATTGGACAACGTGACCAGCTCAACGTGGCCAACTAAACGTGGCCAACTAAACGTGACCAACTTAAACGTGACCAGTGAGCGATGATGAAACTACCTTTCATATTATCGATCATACAAGTTCTTGTTGGGAGAGAAAAGCTTACTAATTTCATAGAGTGCTATGTTTTATTTCTCGCAATTTTCCTTGTATGCTTCTGTTTGTTTGTTCTGCTGCTCGTTACTGAGTACAGCTGACCGTAATCTGTTAATAATATACGAGCTATAGTTAGTTAATAATATATTTCCTAGTCTGATATCATACATACTTGAAATAATAAGCAATATAAATAAAATTTAGAATAGGTTGTAAGACATTACTAATGTAGAATAGACGTATGAATAATCGACAATATGGGACACATAACACATGCATAATATAAATTACGATACACAGTATAAATATAGTATATGCAATTTATATTATAAAGCATCGAATAGCATTCAACATTACAAAGCTTGTCATTTCGCCCATTTGACGATCATTTGGGCACCCAGCTCTCTACAACTCGCTAATTCTCAGCGTTGTTTCCTTCTTAGGTATTGGTTCATGTGTTACACCAGTTATTGCGTCGACCACCGATCAAACATGTAACAACAATTCATTATTTGTTAAGCCATGAGACTGATTTTGCATCACATGATTTTTAATAAAATACAGCGCTATACGTTGTACTATACATTTTATACATCACAAAAAAGATACTAACAGTTATTTGACATTTCACACACTCATGCTGTCTGTCTTATTTGCAATTTTACTGTTACCACGTATATATAATAAAATAATATTATTCACACATTCGTATGCTCTCATTTAGGCATTGCGTTCCACCACCATATAATTATGAAACACAGTTCCATCACACAAATTAATAGTACTTCCCGGATTACCTATAATACCCCACCCACCACACTACTTACATCTAACAATTTTTCCTCTTATACCTCCCTCCAACTCGACCATTCCTTCCTTCCTCCTCCCCTTTTCCTTTTCCCTTATTCTTCCATTCACCATTAAGATTACACTTCATCAACGATAATCTTGTTCACAAAAACACTTGTTTATTTCTCAATCGCATCAAAAAAAAATGGCTTATGACAAAGCAGATTCTCGTCTACATTTACAAGAAAAGCTTGGGGCTGGTGACCCAAGCATTTTGGCTGCCTCTATTTCATCGGAAGATGACAAAAGAAAAGGAAGAAGACCAAAATACCCTGACCCCAAACCAGGTTACCGTTCGGGGTACTCGGTTAATAGAAGCTTTACTCAGGCTGAAATTATCCTTTTAAAGCAAATATTAAAAGAAGCTGGAGATCCCCCCGTTGACATGCTTACGCAACGCTCATGGTCGCAACACGACGATGACTCTCGTAGTGACATGCAATCATCTAATGGAGAACATAATGTGGGTGACGTAAAGAATGAACATGATGTAATGGATGCTACCATGATATTCCCAGCTAACGAACAAAATCCAAAGAATCGCGAATTATTATCACAGGCACGACGAAAACGAACACGGAATGTTACCACTCCATACCAAACACGAGTACTCAGAAAAGTACTTTCTGTCACGTCATTTCCATCTACCGAAATGAGAGAAGCCCTGGCCAACTCATTGAACATGCATCCTCGTACCGTTCAAATATGGTTTCAGAATCAGAGACAGAAAGCAAAGAACAGTCCAACGAATTTGACCTCGGCTGCTGGTATTCCTCATCTCGATAACTATGGTACATCGGATATTTTTCCTATCCCACTTGCCCCTAATAACAATCCGGGGATATTTTTCCATAACATGTCAATGATGTCCAATAATAACGCGGGCACAAATGTCTCTACTAATGTCACATCCCAACCGATGTCATCCTCCATGTCGCAACAAAATCTATTACCTCCTTCTCCTCCATACACCATAGTCCCCATATACCAAGCTCCTACTCCCACATATCCATCGACAATTTATCTCTCCTCAGCGACGCTACAGTTCCAAAACTACTCAAATGGTAATACAAGCTACCATTCACCTCCAGAAGTGAGCCCACAGGTACCTCAGCAGGGATATAACTCACAAACTGGAGCAAACGGAACTGCTGGGCAGTATGTTCAGAATCCTACTTTGGATATGTTGGCTGCGGCAGCATTGGAGGCAGAAAACGGTCATCCACCACAAGGAAGCCATTCGCATGTTAGCAGAACCCATATAAATGGGAGTCACGTGAGTCATCATGCACATCCGCATCACCAGCATCAAGGACGGTCTCCACAAGGATCCTCTCAACAGGTACGACCAGAACAACGGCATGGATAGCACAAAGAGTGCCTATTGTTGACTAATGTTGATAATACATGCAACTAACAATGCATTCCAATAACAATTAGACTCGACATCCACCTCCTTCGATTTTTACTAGTAAAACATCACCAATTGACGCGTCTGCTGATGCTGTCAGCCCATTGTGCACTTCTCCCATAGTACATGGACTTCGTCCTTGGTGAGCTATGAGGTTGGTATATAAGCAAAAATACGTAAAAGAAAAGAACATGGTTCTAATATCATTTGATATGATACTTCACCAGTCTTTTCCTTGGATGGCACAAGTAACAAAAACAAAAACAAAAACAAGAGAGGCTGGCTATGCAAAAGAAAGTAATTGTTTGTGCGGTTATTTTTGAAGTGACTGAACTTTTTAACTCTTTGTTGTCACTACAAAAAGAAATTCCTATTTTATTTATGTTTGTAAAAAATTTTTTTCTGTAATATAGTTTTTATGGCATTCAATCAATATCTTTTGTTTAACAATGGAGCGAAGAGAATTTCACAGATGATAGAATGACGACAAATATTACTTTTGCATACTCTCAGTACCAGTTGCAGTCACCATTGCACTGATAATTTCTTTTTCCTAACAAAATGAATTTCTTTGTTGTATTATATCAAACTCAAAAGCATTAGTTTTTATTGCTCGGAAAGGCTCATTTTATGCCATATTTTTATTAGAGATTACTATTTTATTGTTTTAAGGAAATTGCCATTGCTCTTTAGATACACATTTGAAGAGGGGGAAATGCAATGCACATATTCAGTAACATTAGGAGCGTTTTGAGAACGTTCTTTGGGATGGAAAATGCGTTTTCTGTTTGATATCTGTGTATTTAGTATTTGGTTTCAGTGATTTGGTTTAATTTACTTTTTCTTATTGTACAGACACTGCTAGTATTAGGGTCATGTCTAAAGAAAGGTGAATGATGCTAAAGTTGCTATGTAATGACCATTATTTATGCTAGAAATTACTATTTATGCACCCTTAGTACACGCACAACTTTCATTTCAAAAGTATTATTTAAGCTTTTAATCAAGAGTAAAGTAAGATAACGGCTTCCTTATTACCCTTCTTTAGATTATATGTATATCTTGCGCGGGTTCGTGACAGGTTTGGATTGAAACTCCGAACGATTCTCATTGCAAAGTTCATTGCATGTTTCGTCGGAGAGAAAAAATGAATAAAGCAGCCTATTGATGGGAAAGGAACAAAGTCTATTTCTTATTCTTGTATGCGTGATACTGCGATGAAAACGAGACTTTTTATTATGAATCTGAATTGTAACATATCCAGTCTCTTATTCAAATCGTATAAGCTATTATGAACGTATTCAATAGAATCGGATAGTATGTCTTATTGGAACCTCCTAGTCTAATAGCTAGCTTCATTTGAAGCCGATAGCATTCAGTACTAAATAGTTTGCGAATTTTCGAGTGATCAACATATATATCAATACACAGTATAGTAACGATCATAACTACCGCCCGTATCAACTAAACGTACATAATAATTTTTGCGCGAGTCAGCATGGACACTCCCATAACAAAACAAAAATCACGAGACTACTAAAATTTAATAGTAAACTACAGTATATTAATATAAAAATCTTTCTTTTCAAAAATATCTCGTCTGCAAGCACTAATGATTTTTATATGGTTCTGAAACTAACTGACTGTGCTTTTTGAAAAAAAATAACAGTAAATTTCAACTGGCAAGAGACAATGGGATTGTATGTAATGCAATAGTAAATTATGGTATGATTAAACGGATTAATGCAACCGCTTACAAGCAAGGAAAAAGAGGCAAGAAATGTACCGAAATACACAGAATGTCAAATCAAATGTCAAGTTATAAAGTAACGTTATTGTTTATTAATGAGCAATATTAATATACCTGCATTCAAATTATTCAAGATGCGGAAAGGTTATGTATAAAAGGTAAGACATCTTTATTTTATTTTAGACAAATAATGGATGCAAAATATTACACTGAGATATTAGAAATGCATCTGCCAGAGGTAAGGAGCATACTGAAAGGCAAATGGCGACTACAACAAGACAACGATCCTAAGCATACTAGTCGCATTGCTAAGGAATTTCTTCAGAAAAATGTCTTTACGGTTATGGACTGGCCCTCCAACAGTCCAGATTTAAATCACATTGAAAACCTCTGGGCAGTTGTAAAGAAAAACGTAAACCTAAAAATCTCAGTGAATTGGAGAAGTTTTCGGTCGAAGAATGGAATAATATCCCAGATAGCCTTCTAATCAGTTTGGTGGATTCAATGAAACAACGTTGTAGAGAGGTTATTGAAAGAAGGGGTGAACGAATTATATTAATTCATAGTAATAAAAATCTACTGCTTTTCAAGCTTCAAAATGACATATTATACGTATCTATTAGTTTGCTCGTTGTTAAACAATTGTCATTTTTTTGCACACTTCGTTAATAACGATGAAGCAAGACAAGTAAATTATAGATACGACAGAAAAAAATTAATGGGTTGAAGAAAGAACGCAACCATTTCTCTCCCGGGTTAGTGGTAAAATTGATAATCAGTATAAGATGTCGCGTAACCGCGACTACACAATGTATTAGTATTAATAATCTTAACGAACTTAATAAAAAAACGACTTTTCAAGATTAGTCATCTATGGTGTAGTTATTATTATCGAACCACAGTAATATCTTTTAATATAGCTTTTTTTTTCTAAAAGCACAATCAATTAGCTTCCTCAGTTGGGGACCTGTCTCAGTTCTGGACCGAGACAACTGAGTTCTGGACTGAATGACTGGTTTCTGAACTGAGACAGGACCAAAACTCAGATACAACATGCGCATAATGTAATAACATAACCTTCCCTCAGTCATTCTTTTATAAACAATTCATAGTCTATTTGAAATTTTGGAATGTTTAAGATAGAGAACAGTTTTCGCAGCTTACCTTTATCAATACTTCAGATAAGTGTGAATTTGATGTAACTAGCATTCATTATTTTATAGAGCTTGTTCTATATTTATTTAAGAAACAATTTAAAGGTGAATCTTAAGCAGCATGCAGTTAAATACGCTTATTACACTATTAGCACTTCCCAATTCTTTAAACGATAACACGATAGTTTCTTGTATTGGTAATTAATGTAGTATCCTCTGAATTGCTATTAGGTTAACGAATTTAATTGGGCCTTACTTGAATTGCTGAATGGCTTATTATGCGCCGGAAACTTTGCTGCAAAATTAGTTGACCAAATAGTTTCTTCCGTTGGAAAATCAAACGGCGAAGAAATTAATATCCATCAGCTATAGAACATGACGCACCCATTGAAAGTAGGAAACAACAGTTAACAACAGTTTGTAAACCCAATTAAATTACATCATTTCAAAATAATTTTAAAATTAACTAAGTTATTCCTTCAAAATAGTCTCCTTCATTTATGAATTTTGCATTCTCCCATGACATTCCTCTTGTGGGATATTATCAACAATTGCCTGAAGAGTCCTAGACCTGGTTTTTGCGTTCTTTCATAAATTTAGTAAATCTAGCTAGATTTAGGAGAGATGGGACTACGATGAGGCGCAGCATTGCCATCACATCCTGCTGAGCATGTTCCGTGATACGCTTGTAGCAGTGGGACAACAGGTGTTTATACCTGAAGCAATATTTGTGAGGTTCTGGGTGTGTCGTGGGTGCGAGCCTTTTATCATGCTGAGTGAGGAGAGACTCGGTTTCTCTCCACTATTTTCTCTGATTTCTCCAATTGGAATTTGTCCGCAAACATGGGAACTAGCTTATTTCTGAAATATATAGCTGATTTCTGTAAACGCGTTTTACAAATTGTCTGTTGTGATTTAAGTTTTCAAACTAGCGCCTGATATTGGTTACTATAAGAGATTGGAATAGAAATAACATTAGCTAAACCTTTTTAAATAAAGAACAAAAGTTTCGGGCTATTCTTTCACTGTTCATGCTAATGGTTTATTCGTGCGTTTATTCTTGAAAATTGCTGCAAATCGCACTATTCGCATTATAGAGGTAAGACGCCTCAGATCTGACGCTTAGAATACATTCCAAAGAATTCGAGACCCGATGAAAGCCTTCTATTTTCATTTCGAATACCTCTAACGGCAACATGTTGTTCATCTTCGCTTATTTGGTCCGTAAGTATTGCTTCCATTGCGTCATATATCTTCTGTGGCGAGAATAAACCCATTGGCTTCACCTATATGTATTGAATGAGTTGAACATAAGATATAAAGTACATCACAAGAGCTCTTTCTTCTTGACATGCATGTACCTCCTCGATTAAAGCCCTTGGTCCACAGTAAGACAAATCAATCCAGTCGAACATATCTCCGAACTCAATATCATCTCTTTGTGTAGAAATCCACTTTCCTAAAAACTTCACCACCTTTGCTTCAGCAGTAGCCTGACCCGCAATTCGATGCCTTTTCACCGGTAGGTTACCATTTAATCCTATCTCTGATCTCAGACAATATTCCACTGTCTCCAGTGACATCGTTTCCATTTTGAATACTTGGAAATTCTTCTCACTTAGTCCATCTTGCGAATGTAAGTACTCGAAGCACGTTTGAGCTAGAGCATCATACCAAGGCCATTTCGATGTCTTGCGAAATGAGCAAAAGTGATTGAGAAAAGGTACTATATTACTTGGCGAAAGGATTGATTTTATCTTGTTTGTTGCTAGATCCGTGAGGGCAGTGAGCTTCAAGAAGTATGTAAGATAGACAAACGCACAAAAATTGGAGGGTGACACAATAATAGTATTCCACATAAGAGTGCCTTTGTAGAAATAATGAATTATCGGTTTGAAGGCCTTTGAGAGAGACTGAGGAGTTATATAAGCATAGTCAGAGGTGAGATTGAGGAGGGTTGTGAGGCGAACAGTTTGGACGTTACACTGTTCACTGTCTGAAAGAGAAAAGCGTTAGGTATATTTAGACTTTACTAGTCTTTGTTCTACAAAATACTATATTATTACCATTATTTGCACTCGTTGAAATATTCTCCATATCGACAACATCCTCAATCGAGTCTAGAGATATTGAATCGACGGAAATTACGGATGGACTGTCTATGGCAGTATTGCTACTCGGAACTTCGTTCGTAGCTTCATTCGTAACTTCACTCCTTGATACGTTTGTTACTTCATCATCTGTAGCTTTACCAGGATCTTTTGGTTCAAAATATTCTTTAAACAGCGGTGAGCGAACGGCAAGGATACATCTGATCGGTTATTGTGGTACATCAAAGTTATTCGTTAGTGTATAGAACGTTGATTATGTACAGAATACATTGGTTTTTTTTTACTTGTGTGCTCGGATGTGTTCCTCATCGGGAAGGATGATGTCGACATCTGCGAATAATCTATCTCGGAATAGACTGCCAATGTCCTCGAGCAACCGCTCGTAAAGCTTCACCATATCGGTTACCGACATCCTATATTGCAAGTTGAATTATTCGCGCAGTTCAATGATGCACTGTTATATATAATGGCTATGGAGAACAACTCGATGATCAGAACCGAGATTTGTCTCCCACATTTGGATAACGCGTAGTTGATCATTCACACGGGCTAACGATATTAATATGATCTATTGATTGTAAACAATGGAGAGTTTTATCGCGCGATTGTGGTTGGTATATAATAAATGCATGCGTAAATCCTTAACGCCTCGAATATTTACAAGTTAGGAAAAGTTGTACACATGTTTGTTGATACGACGTACAGTGCTGATAAATTATAATTGATTATCGGTACATATGTATCAGCAAAAACAGATGATCCAGTAATAGTTAAATTGATATGCAAGCAATCTTTATATGAGTTCTACTGCTTGACTTTGTTTTTGCTATGATCGAGAGTCTTCTATAAGTAAGAGTTAAACGAGTTGAACTAGCCAAGTATTACAAAACTGATTGCTTTCCCAATTAGGATTCCTTTGTGGTGGACTTGTCATTGAATGATACCAGTAGAAAGCTTGAAGCAACGATTCAATGAAATCAAATGAACAAAAAACTCAAGCCAACGGACATATTAATATGAGCTCAAAATACAAAATAGGTCGACCATAATTTACTCATTAATAAGAAATCCATCTAATTCGGCTCTGTTACGAAAATATCGTTCTGGTGAGACTCACGCCTATTTCTAGTACGGCCTGGTGCATCGATTTGGAGTAATTATGGTTAAAGCACACCATTCCTTTAAAGGTTTGAGCTTTTTGACTGCTGCGATTTCCAATTTGTAAATAATAAGGAAACAATATTGGCATGGTTCAGAATAATCCATTAATTCTTAGTCTTTGAGTATGTCACATATCAACTTCTATAAATTTGTTAATGAGCATGTCGTTCTGTTATGGAATCTGAAAAGACTGGGAATATAATGCAGGACTAAAGTGTTACCATAAAATCGTATTTCTAATTAATTCAACAATAATACAAAGGACATCCGATATAAAGGCCCTGCACTCGGACAAAAATCAATTAGTGAAACATATTTTGAAAGAAATAATGACGCATTAAAATACATACAGTCAACCCCCGGAACCCGATACTGCTCGAAACCGATATCGTGCAAAGTCGATACTTTCTTCAAGTCCCATGCTTATAAAACCGATATAATACACATAGATCTCGGAAACTAGCTTAGCCGACATATTTATATTATAAGGTTGTACAAATTTACACTACGTGAAATTTCGAAATGTGAGTCAAAATCAAAAGGGCAAAAGGGCAAAACTGGTCATTCGCTCAACCTTCTTCGTTATTTCTGATAAGTCAAAAACTAGCTTTTAGCAAGCCTGTTTACAGGAATTTTGTCACATAAACATCGTAGTAACATACTTCACTTGCAAAGGGTTACCGTTACAGTACTGTACATATGGGCACTGATCTATCAAAAAGGCGGTTATCGTTATGGGTACACAAAATGGTTTTTTTGCATATACATGTTCTCAGCAGTCCCCTCTACATATCTTGATAATTTTTACCTCAAGTACATTAGTAAAACTTTTCTCTACAACGGTTTGAAGTTGAGTAATACAAGGGCCATTCGAAATTCAAACCCCAAATATTTGTGCAGATCATTCGTCTCATGCCAATTTGGGGGTTATCCTGAGAAGGGGTTATTGCTGTCAAAAAACCCCCCAAATCTTTGCATCCAAATTTTTCAATGATCGCCATCATGCGTTTGATAGATCAGGGCCCATATTTGAAGCATGATGAGTTCGTCGATACAGCATGTCATGACAAAACCGTTGCATGTTATGCTACAACAATCAGAGTATAATGAACGTACTTCTATTTTCTTTAATAGCGTTTCACACTTTTGCCGTTATTTTCTATAATTAGCTCACATCATTGTTTTATCGATCCCACTAAATTGATTAACATTCTTGATTAACATTCCATTAGGGATAGAATACGTTTTCAGGACTTGGCGTATTCGGATATTCTACTGTCCATCAGGTAAAGGTCGAACCTTAAAAATGCAGGCAGTTGAGCCGAAATAAAAGAATTTCATCAGCTGTATTTGAGCAATTAATTCTTGGGCTTCGATCTCTTACCGTTCTAATATTATTCAATTGGCAATACGGTTCTCTTACGTTTGAATTAAAAATTCTACAAACCGAAGCTGTTTATAATAAAGCCGTGCAATTAAAGAAAATGCGATAAGTTTTGTTCAGGAACTAACTTTGATCCAATTGTGCGGGGAAAATTTAAATCGGTAAAAGTTAATTAGTTCTTATGCTAATTCTCCTTACAAGATCTTTATAACAAAAAATAAATAAATAAATAAAACAATAAAACCTAAATAATGTTAAAAAACCAAACAAACCAAATTACTTTTTTCAAACCGGAAAACGACATTAGCAGTCTTATTTCCTAAATTTGTTTTTTTTTAGCCGGTAATTACTTCTTGACCTCACTTCACGTGAATATTAATATGGGCAGGCTCGCCAAAACTTCTCCTGTTCACAAATTGCACTCCGTTTCTTATTTGTGGGAAAAGATAACGAAGAATTAGCTTACTAGCAATACTAGTATTGGCGTGTGTATGTGTATGCGTTATTGTAGCATGTTGTAGGAAGCAAGGTTGCTGTAATTCTGCTAGTCGTACTCCTGATGGAGATTGTCGCCCTCCCAGAACTCCTCGATTGATCCTTATCAGAGTTTTATTGATGTTGGTGATGTTGGCACGTAACAAATAAAAGGGGTTTAAAGTAAAAAGGTTCGTTTAATGTATATTTTTGTTGTATATTAGCAATGCGATAAGATTAAAGTATTATGCAGACTGGCGGTATATGCATAATCTTTGTTGATGCATATCATTGGATACAACAATAACCAGACTTATCAGCCAGAATAAACCGATTTAGGAAATTCGGCGTGCAGTACTTGCATGATGCATATTGGATATTTGTTGTTGGGATTTCTAGAACAGCAAATAGTTACCATATAGCTGACATGAGTCATTTCGCAAATATGAAAGATTCGGATTGTAGGAATCCGTGCCATCGGAAAGTAAAGCTTGAGGCGTCCTTATTTCTGTAAACGCAAAAGGTGTCATTTTTTATTTTATAATAAACCCTTTATAATTTCTAAATTCGGTGTTCTTTTTGTGTCGATTGTAGGAACACAACATGCAAAGATAAGAAGTAGATAAACGACCAGGAAAAATATTAAGACAAGACCCAACAAGGAAATCTGTATAGCGTTGCCTTATTATTATCTCATCTTGAAATTGTTAAATGGTAATACAGTAACGTTGTTCTTCATGGTCTGTAGATGTCGAAACACATGCCATGCTCGATATAATTTTTCCTTCTTAACAGCAATACCTGACGTTATAATAAAATCCTCCAAATTCTTCCCGGCAATAATAACCCGTAATTGAATAATAGCTCAGTCTTTTGTTTAATGTAACACTTTGTATCACCAATCCGGCTTCACGTATAAAGCAACACGTGGTTATTCATTATGTCGTCTAGTTCATTAATTTACAGGTGGTACAGTATATTTTACCATCTTCATCGAGGTAAAATCCACAATTATCACAGAGTAATTTTCTTATCATTCATTGTTTTAATTTTATTGGTTTAATTGACTAATTGTTGATCAGTCAAACTTTCCCTATAACTGGCGAAAACACATTTAACGTTATTTTCTTGTTCAGGTCTCAATGCAATTACGCATCTGTTATTTATCTTTGAATTTATTAAGCGGTCACTATGAACAATAACCAACATTCCAGGAGTATTAAAAACATACATTTAACTCTGACCCTAAGCGAGTTCTAACTAACTCCATTCCATTATTTTTCACCCACCAGAATAATCTTTTGCTATACAATACCTTAAGTTATTCGATAAAAAAAAAGGTTGTTAGATTTATGACACCAAAGACTATTTGGTTCCAATAGTTTACAAATACGTTCTTTCTATATCGCTTTCCTCTCTTTATAATAAAGTCACAGTTCAATGTATTTGCTGTACTTACCATCATATATAGGCTCAATATACACAAAGTTTTCAAGTCTAATTGCTTTAAATATTAAAACTCTGCTTTCAAAATTTGATTTATTTCTTTATTTACTTAATTTTAAATCTATAAGTATTTACTTCAAGAGCTGCTTCAAGATTTCGTAACTGTCAGCAAATGTATATCCGTATAATTGAAATATATGACCAACATGTTGTTTGTTGACGTTATCTGATGCTGAATACAGAAATTCTTAAAATCTTCAAGTACCCAGTGTCTCAGTCCAGAACTGAGACAGGTCCCCAACTGAAGTACAACATTTTATCAAAATTGCCTCTGAAGTGTCTTCAAAGCTAAAATAAAATACAAGCAGACAACCCAGACAGAACATCAAGTTGTATTCACGGGCAGTTCTATTATTCTTGTAATGTATTAGTATTCTTAAATTATGCGCAACCATAAGAAGAAAAAAATTTTTTGGACATTGTTTCGTATCAGTAATTGCAGTACATTAACTCTTAGAGGCTTTCTGGATCTGTCATTAAAATAGACACCGATTACTTTAATCGTTAACAAACAGACGCATTAAAACTGATTAGTTGCTTTTGATATAAGCTATAGTGTTATCATTGCGAAAAAGTGTCATCACAAATAGAATTAAGGAGAAAAGCTATTTATCGTGTAACAATCTTTACCTTAAATTCTATTGGTAGATTGTAGTCACGTTTTTATAATCGTCGTTTTCAAATTTTTTGATGATCGCAGTAAGAATTCCTTACAAATTTTTTCGCCGTGTCTATTTTCTTAGTATGTTTATTTGTAAACGGATCCTATACGCATCACACCATCATGCTCTCATGATACCACGCTATCCCTAAATTATCACTTCGAATATTACGTCTATTTTTTTTTTTCGATGGGATTAGTTTCGAAAGCCTATAGGTCGGGGAAGTTTTCTACACTACTGCACTAACCGCGTTTATGAAGAATTAAATAATGATCCCAGTGATGACAAGCTCGATTTTGTTAACCGCCGAGTCGGGGTGTGCTTTACACGATTGAGGTAAATTCACCAGGGAATGGACGAAAATAATAACATTTATTTAACAGAATTCAAAGAGTCATTCTAATTGCAAGGATTATAAGAACAAATATTGGAATAAAAGAATCGGATATGTTGAATATAATATTCACTAAGGGAAATTATGACTGCTTATATATCTATCTATAATTTCACTAAAACTGATAACTGGCGAAATATGTGCAATGTGCCGCAGACCGGAAATCATGGAGGAATACGTCATCTTTAGCCTTAATCCTCTTACACTTATAACATAGCAATAGGTCTAAAGTGCCACTAAAAAATAGTCAGACTTTTTTAGCTCACATAATCAAATGTTCATTGTTGTAGCCTGCCCAATCTCTAATTAGAGTATCATAATCTTACTTTGGGCAAGCACACTTGGTTATATTCGACACTTTCTTTTACCGCATTAAATAATTAATGTCTCAATGCCACAATTTCTTCTAGTTGGATTTTTCGGTTAACTTTTTGGTTATTCAAAGTTAGTTAGTTGCTGGCTTTTCTCTAATTCAGTTAGTAGTAGGTCAATATTTTTAAACATATTAGGTAGTTATCATTTTTAGGAAATAAAAGATAATTCCAGCCAAAATATTATCGTCGTTAGTGAATGCTAGTGTGTCTAATTCTTTAATAAGTATATATGTGCTGATATTTAGGTTGATTCTTGGTTGTTTCTAGTTGGTTCATAATGGTTAAATTTGTTAACTGAATCGTGCTGGAAAATTTGTACTACAGTCTCCTATATTATGGTATTTAACAATAAAAACATAATCACGTTATTTTTACAATACGGATATTTTTCTGCAAGACATTGCATTTTCTTAATTATTGGGCTGTTTAATAGAACTATATATATAACAATATTTTCATTACATTGTCTCGTAGTATTAGTATAGTACTAGTCAAAAGTAACCATATACCCCTAATTCGGGACAGGAATGAGTAGATGCTTGAAAATTTCAAACCTGATCACCTGTAAAATTTCAGCTTGATCGAATGTCTCCAGTAATTTTCCATGTACTGTATTCACTATTTTGTCACTCAAACGGCATATCGTTTAGTCGAATAGGAACTTCAAAAATCTATATTTCCACGCGTTTCTAATAGATTTGCACAATATATTTTTGCAATTATAGTCAATAATTCAGAGACTTTTTTCGACACTTTTATGGATGTACAGCATATTCTGCCATTCTTCAAAACATCGTCGATTATAACTAACATAAACGGACTAATTCGGACTAGTGCATAAAAGTGTTAGCATCATTATATCGCACGATTATTTGCATCTGTAGCAATCACATAGCAATTTGTTCAAAATGTATTCTGATGGTGCAAAAGAACAAAATAAAAAAAAAAACATGGAAGTTGGTTAGAAATATGTCGAGATATGAAGTTTTGATGTACATGGGTCTATATCTCGAAAGTAAGACATTTGGTATTTGGAAAATTTGCTGGAGACATTCAATCAAGCACCATACTCGTTTGAACGTATTGTGTACAAGTAAGTCTCGATATAATGTCTTGTTATAACGACAGAAACAGTAGAACAGAAAATCTATATTGCTTAGTTGTCGTATATAAGTTAATTCTCGATACAAGGACATTCTCGATACAGTGACCATTTGGATTGCAACAGAGCGTGTCGCTATATCAAGATCCACTTGTATACCACTGCGTAAAAAGCGTTCAAGGACCAACTGATTATCGTAACTACGATTTGTCTATTCCCAGTTAACATAAACTGACCCTAATCTTGATCGATGTTTCAAAACAGACCGCGGCGCCGGAAAACGTTTAGTGTTGAATTCTTTTCCCATCTCCTTTCTTATTAGTAAATTACGCTTTTTGGCTGTTAGAAAATTAAGCCGAAACCGTATCAAACATTAATTTAATTCTCGCTACTGCGTGTATTTATATAAGAAAAACATTCTACTGTTTTCGTTATTAATCAGATTGCGCATCAACCGTACCAATAACGCTGCAATAAAAGAGCTATTATGACATTTGCATTAATAGTAGCCAAATTAATAATCTTGACTTCAAGAAAAGTCCATAAGCAATAATTTCCTTATAATACTGTTAGAACAACGCACGTTTGAAAGCTCGTCAAATGTGAACAAAATTTGTCAGATAATAAGAAATTATCTTCGTCAGCGCCCTTACAGGTGCACGTAATTTACCGTATACAGTCAGACCTCTCTAAATGCACGTTGTCGGGACCATAGTGAAAAAAAGCCAAAAGTGTGCATTTAGAGAGAGTGTGCATTTACAGAGAGCAAAATATATAATGTTCTTATAAGCTGGGACTGAACCATACCGTGCATTTATGGAGAGTTTATATAGTGTGTGCATTTAGAGAGGTTGCATTTAGAGAAGAAATATACGGTAAGAAAAAACCATTTTCCCAATAGAAGCAGCTGAGCCACTCCCTTTATACTACTTTCATCACGATTGAATAATATATAAAGAATTTGTGATTAATATAATTATCTAAACAATACAGTACATAAATTTGAATTTTAATAAGGTTTGATACTTCGACGATGACCACACAAGAGTACATTAATACACAAAAATTCAACAAGTCTGTCGAATGAAAAATATAAAACTCTAGTTTAATATTACTAACAATGCTTTATAGTTTAGTAACTTGAAAATAATAAGAACTTGGAACAAAAATCAAAGGCTATTGAATTAGAGGACAAACTAATGGATATTTAACGCTGCTGGTTGTGATTCCCAATTTATAACTTGTCCATTTCTACTTATAATAGTGAAGAACTATGAAAAGCTTTGAAAAACGCAAAAACGGGGTAAATTTCCCATAAAGTTCGGAATGAGGCAATTGCTTCAGCTAAAAGAACTCCAGAAGCAGGCAAAGTCTTGAATAATAAAATGGAATCAGTTCCAGAAAAGGTAACATTTCTGTTAGGTATCTCATCGATGACGACTTAATGCTAACATAGTATACTTCCATGCCAAAGATAAATACTATGCGAAAAATTGAAAAATTTAAGTCACAATTTTTTTAAACAAGTACCAATAAAATTTATATCATTTTAAAGCTAAATGATTGTAGTTTTAAAATTGAGAGACATCAGCAATTTTAAGATATTACTGTTGCATTGTAAGGAGGAGATGAAAGCTTCACTTGCTTAATTAATATTTGATCGACGTAAATATTTTAAAATTGCTGATATTTCTCAATTAAAACTACACTCATTTAACTTTAAAATGATATAAATTCTATTGGTACTTGTTTGAGAAAATATGGAGAATTAGCGACTTGAAAAATTCGATATTTCATGTTTTACTACTAAAATCTTGTACTTTACGAAAAACTTTCGAAAGTTACACAACAAAGTTGGGTGGGCTAATAAATTTGGTTTTTATTCAACGCAAACTACTATTTAGCTTTTTCAAATTTCTAACAGTATTTTACAACAGTTACATATCAAAGAAATAGAAGATTCGGTCACCAAAGTTATGGGAGAAAAACCGCCAACAATTATAATGATCCAATACTGTACATACATATATAGAATAAATATGTGAACACAGAATACTCGAGAATATATTGATGTTGTACCTCAGTCTCAGTTCTGGACCGAGTGAACTGAGACTGGTCTTAAACTAGCAATTAATATATTACTCTAACTTCCTTATCTGGCTTAATTTAGCTTCTCACGCAATAGACATTCCGTTCGGCAACAACAATGCACAATATTAAATTATAAAAAGATGACATATTACAACGCGTTCTCCTTAAGAAATTCCTTAAGAGTTTTTATTTTGGCAATAAATTTAACTGTATTTCACTATTGATCGTAATAATTGGAATGGTTGCAGAGATCAGAGCCATTGCTTTGCAATAAAACTTTGGACCATTAGAAATTGATATACTGTAGTTAGTGAGAGTTGACATTGGCAGAGAACATGATACTTTTGAGCTTGAAATTTCTGTTTTATTACTAGCAAAACACCCCCTTTACGTATTGTAATAATATATATAAAATGCAATAGATATGATCATTATTATTATTTTTATGCTGTAAAAAGAAAGAACGCACTACTAAAACATTATAATATAATGAAAGGTCATTTACTTGTTATCTATTTTTTGTAGACATCAAATCAGTGAGTGACGAGCGTCTCATAGTTAGCTGGCGTACGGATACCTGTATATTCAGTCCAAGCAATTTGTCGTGACTGTCACTGCTTTTGAATGGGTCTACGAATCTCACGTAAACTTCTAAGGAGCTACCCTACAACTTGATGTGTAAGCAAAGCAATAAAGCGAAAGAACATCTATTTAATTGATTATGATTTTTATTCAATGCATACTGTACCGATATCCCGTTACAATATTATATATTATCATATGAAGCTGATTATATGCTCTCCCTGGATTTCTGACGTAGGATGATCCCCATTCCAATAATATGTGTTACCTACTATTTATTGTTAGTCGAAATTATTTTGTGCAAAGTCATTTCTTTCCCCCCTTTAGAGTCTCTGATTTTCAAATTGTGAACTCAACTGACGCCTACTTAGAAAAAAGACATCATGGTATATGAAATCTGACAATGATGATTCCTACCATTGCAATTACTTTCTGTCTGCTATCACTTTACATAATATAATGTTTTTCTGATAATCGAAATACCATTTATACGTATTTACCACAGCAGGGCTCATCAAAACAGGCTGATCCTGAAGAATTATACGTAAAGCAGGACAGGATAGGTATGTCTTATTGCTTCAACGAACATTGTACGGATAAAATATCGTAGTATCGTCTCATTTCTATCAAACCTGATAAAATAAACGAGGGACATGATATGTGATCTAATATTTGTATCATTACCGATCTATGTTCTTCATAGGCAAGGGATCCTTTGGTGAAGTGTATAAAGGGTAAGAGGTTGCGTCTTATTCAAAGTGATCGAGAAGGTCCATCAAATTTATTCAATGTCAATATTTCGGTGTCCTATGTGTTAGCCTTTATGCTAGGACTATTATTTGCAACATCTATTGCCAATGACTATATAATTTTCGCAAACTTGCGTTATAAATGGCGGATGCCGCTCACCCAATGAACGAATTTGGCCCGCCATATCATATTAATCTGTATAAATTTGCATCCTTCCATTTTCTTGGGGGGGGTTGATCCGATTACATTCTAGGTTCGATAAAAGATCGAAAATGCCTGTAGCTATTAAGATTATTGATCTCGAAGCGGCAGAAGACGAAATAGAAGATATTCAACAGGAGATTGCTATACTATCCCAATTGGACTCACCATATTTCACAAGGTAGTTAATGCTGGTGGGAAAAATATTATAATTCTCTTCATCTAATATATCTGATGGCGTCATTGTCTTATTGGAAGATACTATGGATCCTATCTCAAAGATACTCATCTATGGATTGTCATGGAATATTGTTCGGGTGGTTCTTGTTCCGATTTGGTAAGCATTAGGGCAGAGCATTCTATTGCACAGCTATATCCATATCTACGGAGAAGTTAGAAACAAGTTCTAAAGAATAAGTAAACATTACTAGTAATTAAATTATTAGCTACTTATGAGTTTTACGAGTCTTTTAATATATGTGCTTATTTAACAGGTGAAGCCTGGCGCCTTTAAAGAAGAATATATAGCCATCATATTAAGAGAATTACTCAAAGGACTTGAGCATCTTCATAATGAAAATAAACTACACAGAGGTCGGTTTATTTTCATATTTATGCATTAACATTACTGCTTTTTATGTTTTACGTTCTAACCGTCAATTTATTCTTATCATCGTCAACTATAGACATTAAAGGTTGGCAATGATAAATACGCTAATTTGGAAATTTGTAAGATAGCAACCATCCAGTCAAGAACGTTGAGCTGACACAAGAATGGATTGTTTACAGCGGCGAATATTCTCCTATGTGCAACAGGCGATGGTAAACGATTTCTAATATTGCTATGCAATCGATATGGACACATGTTGATTATTAATTTTTCATGTGATCTCAATCACAGTGAAACTAGCGGACTTCGGCGTATCAGGACAAGTGTGTACGATTTATATAATGTGACGCATATATATTATTCTATAAACAGGCATTAGAGTCATCCTTACCAATGACATTATCCTCAATACTTATATAGATCACTGCGACGATGAACAAGAAGAATACGTTCGTTGGCACCCCTGTAAGTCTACTCATCTGTATGTATCCGAATTCACATGAGACTAACGCTCTTGCTATGTTTACAGTTCTGGATGGCCCCGGAAGTCATCAAGCAATCCGGATATGATTTCAAGGTATATTGCAATTACGTCTTGTATATTTCATATTTCATATCTGAGGCTAAGTCGTATTCACTGATTTGTGGAATCTTAGGCTGATATCTGGTCACTGGGTATAACTGCTATTGAATTAGCCAAAGGAGAACCGCCACATGCTGATTTGCATCCAATGAAAGTACTCTTCCTAATTCCTAAGAACCCTCCCCCTACTTTGGATGGAAATTTCTCTAAACCATTTCGAGAATTCATTTCAGCTTGTTTACAAAAGGATCCTAATCTTGTAAAGTGTCTATTTAAACTCATATGTGAGGATTCGCGTTATGTAGCTGATTCTAATTATGAAACTATGAACAGAGACCGACTGCGAAAGACCTGTTGAAATACAAATTCATTAAAAGTGCAAAGAAGACGTCCTATCTCACAGAATTAATTGAAAGACACGAAAAATGGGTAGCTGAAGGTTACGATAAACAGGATTACGAGGAGGAAAACTCTAATAGGAACGGGTACATTATCATAATCTCAAATATATACTTTTTTTGATATTAAATTTGATCATTGGTTTCTTTTTCTTTCATAGGAAACTAGAGGAATGTGACTATGGGCCTTGGGACTTCCGTACTATGAAGAAACAAGTTTCCTCTCCGACATCCAGTGACGATGAAAATGAGTACTTCGAAGATGGTACTATCGGTCCTGCAGCTGGGAAACAAAGACATGGAGTCAATTCGACTTCATTGGTGTGTTCTTCTTTTTCTTCCGTTGCTATTTTTCGATACACGAACGACTCATCTCATTTAATTCTAATTTCAGTCATCTAATACCTATGAACAGTCACCTAATACAATTGATTCAAATTGTGGTACAATCAAACAGATGGGCATTTCCGAAGACGTTGACGATTATGATTATTACTCTGACGAGGCTTCTCAGACTATAACAGGTCCAGAAGTGTTTGAGAAGGTTATGCTACCATCTATTGAGAAGGTACGTGTCTGTAAATGATTGTTATTATATATTATTGTGATATAATATTTTGTATCATATAATTTAGCTTCGTCATCTGGCACCATCGGTACGAGCACGATATACGATCGATAATTTAGCAAAAGCATTTGAGAATGCTGAAATAGAAAATCCAGGGATATCAGAAAAGTTTATTCATGTCGTTCTACAGACGTATGATGAGGTAACACCATAGAGTAGCTAAGAATAAATAAGACGATGGTATGGTTCGAACTGTGAATGGATATTATCTTCTCAGGCTTGATACCCCTGTTGTTTCTAATCCCTTCATCTCTATTTACTGGTGGAATGAGACGTTTATATAAACATTTGTTTTTTCTTTAATTAGTCAATATTTAAACTACCTTATCCGGCAGAGTGAAATGAACTAATCCTTTCCCCTAGTCGCATATTTCGATTTAAGTTGATCTTCTTGCCTTTGTTGCACGGATATCGACCTAATGAAAGTTCCTGAACCCACACGTGTACATGTTTCTGTAGAATTGTTATTTGACTTTTTTGACAACCAGAAACAGAAAAAGAACTTACAATAGTTTCTTCATACACATTATTTCAATCATCTTTCTCATTTAAACTTTATAAAATAAAACTGTGCCAGACAGGTTGAAGATATACTGTATAATATCACGTTCGGACAACTACTGTACAGTGGTCACGGAGTAACACAAAAATTTACGAATCATACCATGAAATCGTGCATATGTAAACGTTAACATAATTGTATTTGATGATGCATTAATTAAACTTGTTCGCAGTATCGTTTTACACATATTTAGTATATTTTTTTTTACCTTTACTAAAAAAATAAAAGTGAGGACGAAAGCAAAAAAAGAACAAAAGATGAATTTTTTCGCTGCGGAATTTGTCCCGGTATGCAAAATCTGCCATGGAAAAATTCATAACGGGTAAAAAAATCATAAATAAAAATAGAAAATCAAATACCAAAAACCGAAATGGTTTATGAATTAAAAAATGAAGTTCCTAGTTTTGAAGAGTTTATGAAAACTTATGAAATTGATAAAAAAGTTAATTATGACGATTTAAATGGTGGTGATATTGGAAGTAGTAAAGGTTTGCAGCAGTGGTGCTGTACTACCGTAGTATAAATTCTCGTACCACTGCAGCAGAGGATTGGCTGGCGCCGCCGTACGGCATCGGCGCGTCAAAGTCAGCGAAGCCGATTTTATCCCGGACAAAAGCGCAAAATCCACATTGACAACAGGAAAAGGTTTATTAAGAGATTGTATTCAGAATGATTTAAAATACATAATTACAAAGTTTTATAAATTTTAGCTGACAAATGATAAAGTATAGAGTTTACTAATTTTCAACTAAAATTTATAAAACTTTGTAATTATGTATTTTAAATCATTCTGAATATAAACATTTTCCTGTTGTCAATGTGGATTTTGCGCTTTTGTCAATTGAAATTCCAGGATAAAATCGGCGAAACTCTTTCGCTG